TAGTGTCTCTCCTGGAAAAAAAGAAAAAAAGTAATCATCAAAGATTAAAAGAAATTATCCAAGTTTCAAGCATTAAAAACGAAAGAGAAACATAGGCTCAAAACCTGGCGCATCCACTTAAAGAATCGAATAACGGGCCACCGATCACATTTATTAGCAATGTTGTGACAAGTTGGGATACGCATCAGGATACTAAAGAAGAACTGAACACCACCATAGATGGCTATGACGATCAAATAAAGCTTAAATATGGGTGAGTTAGAATTTGGTTCTTTAAGTGCTTTCCTGCACACACAAAAAAAAAACTATCAAACAAAGTAATGCAAAAGCTACGCCAAGATAAAGGAAAATAGCAAATGCAAAATGAAAGCTGAAGAAGGTACAAGAAAAGAATGATAACATACACATAGAGGAAAGAGATGAAGACGGAAGCAAGGCCAAACCAAATGAAACGAAGAAAAATGCGAGAAACAGCCAGACGTCTTGTTGTAGAATAGGCACCATACATCATGATAACATCCAGAACACCTATTAACATTAAACATATGCTTATTCTTCACTAATTCATAACAATAAATGAAATTAAAGTAAAGCGTATGAGATTTAAGACTGACTCTCAGAAAACTTCATCACTACAAAAGTCGGACCCAGGCTGAGAATTTCACGTAAAGTCTTTGTGGAAGTAAGGTCATCTTTATTGAACGCAATTATGGCTAATGCCTGTAAAGAAGTTTGTTAGAGTAGTAGCAGGTGAACCCTTGCTCGATACGATATAATCAATACTACCAAAAATAGTTAAAGAACAGGTTAAACCAAAAATCTTCATAGATAACGCAAAGCAGCTATAAAACAACACAGTCCCAGAAAACAGCAGGCCACCAAGGATAGGCGTTGACTATAAGCATCTTCTGAGGAATATCGCGAAAGATCATTACAACAACTAAACGGAACCCTGAGTCGAGATCACAAACCTGAAACATCATAGCAAGAAATATCCATAACCGATGGAAGCTGTGGTAGAGATGCAAAAATGTCCGGTGCTCAACAAAGGAAGTTTTTCCTCGATGTTTTGCCCTACCGGTTTTAAGCTCATACTGCAACGAAAAAAAACAGTCTAATCAACATCAGATACACCTATGAGAAAAAAAATAGAAGTTTGTATCTAGATTTAGAAAAGGACATTTCTCTAATGCACGTAGCCATTTGTAACCTTCTTTAATGCGCATAGCCATCTCGAAAGTAACAAATGGCTACGTGCATTATAGTAGCAACAAAACCAATATGAATACAAAATTCCTATTACATATATAAGGGGGCATTGCAGACCTTTTTTCTCGGTATAGGTTTCTGAAAGAAAGATGAACTGGTACGCCACGGCCAACCAAGCTCAAAGGAGTGAAGCGACCTTGAAAATATAAAATGTAAGCCAGCAGAGGCAATGAAATTCACCAAACAGGCAATAATATTAAATTTTTACCAAAAATATTCATTGAAATCATCATAGTTTCTCCAAGCTGAATGAGGTGCTCGGCCATTGTCATTGTTAAAAGCTTCCTGCACATACCCCATTAAATAACATGAAGGGAGCGGGAAAGGAAAAAATCCCAAGAAGTCTAGGGTGAAAGAAAATTACAGAGGACATACCGCTGAAACCACTCCATACAGCGGAGCAATGACATGATCAAGGAATGATACACCATCATCAGAGCCACGGCTATCGACTGGCATACAACTCTCAGCTGGGCGAGCAACCTGCTGGCGTAGGATCTCATCCATTTCTCTAACCATCTGTAGAAAATAATCAGCATCAGCACAAAAGACCAAACGAACAACATCTTATGATAAAATGAATCAGTAGCAAGTCAGAGCGATAAGTAGTTAGGAGATTTCATTCATCTTAAAACCTGTTACATATGAAGAAAAATAAACAGTCACCATAAACTTACATGGTGGAATATGTAGCACAAACATTCTGGAAGAAACCGTATGTTGGCAGCTTCTCCCCAAATCAGGAAGTACAAAGAGAGGAATAGCAGTTTCTTCTCTCCACTGATGGCTTCTAAACTGCATCTTACGAAATGTTCGGAGTAAGTATGCAAGAGTGGTAGCAGAGAAAATTGCAAGAGTGGTAGCAGAGAAAATTGCAAGAGTGGTAGCAGAGAAAATTGAGAAGGGAGAGGGGATAATTTACTTGCTCCACGCAGGTTGAATACAGAGGTAATCACACCACTTGATGTAGTTTTCCAGGGACTTTAAGAACACCTTATGCACTGCAGCGTCATCCAGTTTCTGAGCATAAGAAAATGAAATTATTCATCAGATCTTAAAATTCAACTCATTGCCTTCTAAATAAAGTGCAGAGCACAATTACCACGCTTAGAATGAGCACAAAAATAATTGACTTTAAGTTTCATCAGCTAGAGGTTTTTGCTTTAGTAATATAAACAAACCCAATATAATGAATAATTACTTCGTATCCAGAAGCTTTTTCAGAAAATATCATATGAAAGTGAAATAACTTTGGTACTTACAGGTTCTGTTTCTTCTGGAATATTAAGACGGGATTGCTCATTAGCCAGAAGAAGAACTATATGTTCACGCTGATTTGAGACACTGTCTTTCTGAGGCCATAAAAATTGATATATTAGAAAATGAAAAACAAAAAAAAGCTTTCATGTGCGATATGAAGCTGGATAAACGCTTTTCAGATATACAAACCTGAAACCCAAATATATAGTGGAGAAAATCAAGCATATCAGCATTCCTTGTAACGGGAATGGGGAAATCAGCAGGCAATTTAGGCAAGCCTGGAAAATACTTCAATGCTGCAACTGCCGCTTGAACCTGTTCACATTTTTTGGTCATAAAGCAAGACAAGCCACATAGCGCTGTTATATAGAAAATACCTCACCTCAGGGAAAGTCGTAGTGGCATTTGTCGTGACAGGAGCATCAAGAGGAATAATGTTATATGCAATTGTGTCTTCACTCATTGCAGCATCTGAATCAATAACATGCTTCAGCTGTAGAGGTACAAAACAAGCAATTATTAGCTGAATAGGAGTTTAATTGACTTTTTTGGAGAAACATTTTCATCCTCACGATTCCCTTTTTGTGTTCAAAAATGTAAGAATTAAACGAGATGTGCTAAAATAAATCTACAAAACCTCTTCAGGAATCTCTTTTGCCAATTGCTCCAACACACTTCCCAGAACTTTCAGGGTGGCAAAAACTCTTTTCCTTTTTACTGTTTTCCGTTCCAGCCTGGAAGCCAATATCAAACCATATGGACAACAGTTAAGCTATCTGAGTTAAATGGAAGGAAAAGTAAAACGCGCATAGTCTATATACATACTCGTCAGTGAAAGCCCCCGACTCACGGAGCTGCTTTTCCTCCTCCTTCAACGTGTCAACATTGTTCTTTTCTCTGTATAGCCTGTAAAATTCTTGTAGTCGGAGAATATCCTGACTTCTGTCTATGTTCCCAACCTCTCTTTTTGCTAATTTTTGCTACAATTAACAAGTGAGAACAAAACATTTGAATGCAAAACCATGGGTAAAAATCACATAAATAAAATTCAACGAAGTCGATCTATAATTCACAAGCAATGCATTTAAGTTTCGAAAAAACAGCTTCGAAATTCCAAATTAGCTGCCACACATTTGATCATCTAATACAAACAACAGTTATAATATATCAATGACATATCAGGATTCATGCAGCTTCCAATGACATAATTAACATATTCAATGAAGTGGCCGGTTACAAACTTGTGGATGACTGTATCTAACTTAGAATATACAAAAGAGAAACATACCTTAATAACAGACATCAATCCAGTTTTGAATTGTAAAACACCTCTGCCTTCACTATTAGGATCGAGATTTTGTGCAAGTGAATAACCATGCTCACATACTGCAGTAGAACAATTGTCAAGAAGATCACAACGCTAAACCCGCTAAAGGAAAAAACCCCAAGTAAGAAGAAGAGCTTACAGATCCTTGCAATGTTGGGATCCTCATCCTGGATCTCATCAGCAGCTCTGAGAATGGCATCTATGTCCCTATTGTTCGATAGTGATGAAGGGACATAGCCAACAATACTACTTTGATTACCACCAGCAACTCCTCCTGTTCTATCTCTCCGTAAAGCAGCACTCACTAGCCTCTCCCACGATGACTCAGCTCGAGACATTTTCTACAAACAAATTACATCAAAGAACTCAGCAGAGCGCCAACACAAATGCAATCAAATCAAGGTATACACAAAAAAAAAATTATACAGATTCGGACAAGTGACCTAGGCGCAACTGAAAATGCAAAATAACCGACCGAAGTTGTAGAGAACAAACGAAACGTTGTTCTTTAACCTGGGACTAGTTGAAATCAATAGAACCAAAGAAAAAAAAATATAGATCCTGAATCTGAGCTTCACGCGTCTCAAGTTGCTACGATTGAAACAAGTAGACAACAAAGACATAGAACGAGGGATAAAACCCCCAAAAAATCAAAAGCGAGAGTTACCTAATCAGACGTCAGAAACCCTAGATATGGAGTCGAAGCAGAATTGGATCAGTCATAGAAGAGATGAAGAGAATTAGCCAAGAATTTAGCGGAGAAAGCTTAAGAGCTAGCTCGCTTATGTCGTCTTTCTGAGTTTCAAAACTTTTTCGTTTTTAGGGATTTTTAATTTTTTTTTAATCTAAAACATTACAAAGAAAGGAATCTGGATGTTTTAAAAAAAAAAAGTGAACCTGACAAAACAAGAAAAGGAAACTTAAAACTTAACCGCGTGTTGACAAGAAAAAAAAAAGGAAACTAAAACTTAACCGCGTTGTCAAAGAAAAAAACGAACCGAAAAGTCTTTTTAATTGCCGGATTAAACCGGGTTGAATCACAGATCAATAGATAACCAACACAAACAACTAACAGTCAAACCGGTTAATCGTTTATTTGTTTTGTTCGGAGCGCATAATCCTGATTCTCGACCCGATCCGACCCGTTACTTGATTGGATGTTAATTTTCCGAATTCTCTCAACGCAGATCCTCGTGAAGCCAAAGGCGTCGTGTGCAAAATCCGCAGTTTTCTACATTAATGGATTGTTTCTGTTCAATAGCTCCACTTTCTCCTCTGTGATTTCTGGGTAGAGATTCTAGGGTTTCTATTTGCATCTCTAACCTGCGAGCTGCTCATAGCCCACACAACTTTTTCGTTTGTGGGTTTTCCTAATTTAGGGTTAGGACAAATTTCTGTATTTTTCATCCAAGAGAGATAAAAGATGTATGCTGATAAATTGGAGGCTGAGTCTGGAAGCAGGAAGGTCGTTAAGGATCGTATCAATGGCGGTTCTGGCGACATCTCTTCTCGCGTGCGACAAGTGACTGGGAAGAGGTTCTAATCTATCTCCCTCTCTCCGTCATAATTCTATTAAGATATAACTTGCTTTCCTCGAGGATTCTTCATTGTGTTAGCTGGTACTCGAAGAATCCTTAATCTATATAGCTATATGCTAATCTTCTTTTTAGCAGCCCAAGCTTAGCTCAATGAATTAGAGTATGGAATCCGCTCTTTTTGTTAGCTTAGTAGGATTCTCTGGTCTGCCCATTTTGAATTGCTAATTTCAAACAACGTCACTGAATTTTCAGATAGATCAGCTTTATGAGCTTCTATGCTTTGAGTCCCTACCTGCGTAGTTGAATCTGGAGATGTTATCCATCTGATGTTGTTTTGATGGTTGGTGATTTGATAAGGGTTTTAAGGCCATTTAATTGAATCTTTTGTGTGATGAACTTTGTTTGCTTTTGCGTTGGGGAATGGTTTATATTCATCTCGTTCTGTAGTCTTCATTTTTAATTACATATCAGTTTATCACAAGTTTCTCCTTCCTCATGCTTTCAGGCAAAGGCAGGACGACAAATGGGAGCATGATCTTTTCAGTAGTGACAAACCTCAACTTTCAAGTATGTATTTTTTTTTCTCACCTATTCTTTTCAGTAGAAAATTAAGTATGAGAAAAGTATTTCTGTTTGGTTGTTGATTCTCTGTCGGATGGCTTATTTAGATCGCAGAGTTGATCCTAGAGATCTTCGTTTGAAGCTCCAAAAGAGACATCATGTGTCTCAAAGTGGGCGAGAAGCTGGTTCAGGCGTGCGGGATTTACGGGAAAAGCTCTCTGGGACAATGAATCTGCAACCAAAAAACAGTGACGCGCCAAAACCTAAAGCGGAGGCTGCTAGACCAAGTATGAAGAGCGTGGCGACTGAAACAGAGACTAGAAAAACTTCCACTCAAGCTAACAGGAAGAAATCACAGCAGGCAATATGATTCATTTTTCTTCAACTATATTTTTCCATCAGTACTTTATTCCTTGGGAGAAACCATTCTTCTGACCGGTGCGAGAATATAGTTAGACACATAGCTTACGATGTCTATTCCCTTGTATACATGCCATCCACTAATGTTTCTTTGCTTGTCATCTTTTGGTTCAGGCTGATTCATCGGTTGATAGCTTTCTGGAATCATTGGGTCTCGAGAAATATTCAACAGCTTTTCAAGTGGAAGAAGTATGTAATATCTTCTATTAGGTTGATATTTGTGTTATGTTATTGATGACGCATGATCGCATATATAACGTTCCTATCCTTTTCGGTCTTTCACAGGTTGATATGGATGCTCTCATGCATATGACAGATGATGATCTGAAGGCTATGCTCATACCGATGGTAAGCTTCATATTCAGTTGCCACACAACATTTACTATCACTCACCGTTATATCCTATCTTACACAGATTTCGAATGAAAGCCATTTTCTCAGTTTTGTTTGATCTGTAACACGAAAAAACAACTGAGAAAAACTACATTCAGTCTCTTTGTTCAACATAATTACGCTCTCTTTTCACAAGATGTGTTTTCGTCGCAGGGTCCGAGGAAGAAGATACTGCTTGCTTTGGGATCTAAACCCTAAGAGCTTAGTGACTTCTACATGATGGTTTGAAGCTCAGGTGAATGGTCTCTGCAGTTGTTAATTAAGAATTATGAGAAATGGTTCCGGATTTGGCTCTCTTTTTCTTGATTGTATTTTGCCCATCTTAAGAGCTTAGAATTTTTTGGGTTAGACATCTGTAATCTTAAACATGGTGAAACATACACTGTTTGATTGCACGAACTTTTGATGTGAGAGAAGCCTTGAGATAAACACAATGACAAAAATTAAAAGTTAAATCAAATGAGCCGGAAATCTAGAGTTCCCTTCTCAATGTAACAATGTTATCATAATTTTGTATTCAGTGAGCCAAAAACTTAGAAAGTTACAGAGAATCTGTGGTATGCTAAAGAGTCCTAGGCCGTCTTCTTTCTGGTTAGCCATGTCAAGTACTTTGCCTTCTCTTGTTTGTATCTCTTCCATTCTCGTAGTGCTGCAAGGACAACGTGTCCTGCCACGGGCAGGAAAAATGGCTATCCAGGAAAGCAGATTCACATGAGACTCAGAGAAACAAGAAGATGCTAATAATAATAACAGTAGTAGAGACAAGAAATCTTACCGAGTACACTGCAAAGCAATGTTCATAAGAGAAGTAGCTGACGGACATGATGGATGGATGGAAGAAGGCATTCTCGGCTAGAGACCTTGCTTCTCTCGATGAACCTTTATGGCACACAAAACCGCAATATCTTGTTAGATTCACCAACACTAAGGTAGAACAGAGAGTATTTTGAGTATAGGTCAAGCATCACATACTGGCTGAAGAACTGTATCCTCCCAAAGAAGCATTAGACTGAGCCAACTTTGCTGCTTTCAGAGAATATTTCACCTGGTTTGGGGGAACACAATGGAATGATCAGAACAGAAAAAGATTTCCAGAAAAGGGTTCTAGTTGAGAAACTTACTTGTTCTCCAATTTCATCCTTGATAATCATCCTGGGGAGTGACCGAACCTGCAAGTGCCAGGTGATGAAGATTAGAAAAAATTGAAATGGAAACACCATGATGCTGCAGCGCGTGCTATAACTATACATGCGGAGTAAATAACACACCAATCTAGAGAGAGAACCGAGGGTTGTTGAACAAGAATGGAGATTGAAGCATGTGTGCTTCCGTGACAAGACATCCAATTCCCTGCAAATGATACACCAGTAAAGACAACACCCATCAATATCCATTCCTCATTAGCATCCCTTGCTTTACTTTGAATCCTTTTTGTCCATAAGCTCACATCAACTTTAGGTTTTATCACATACTTACCACTCTGTAAAGCCTCTTTCACTAGGTAAAATCTTGTAAGTGCCCAATCCACTGGTATAAATGGCTTCAGACTTAAAGCCAAATAGTTGTCGGAATTGTCCCAAGAAAATTTCAACTATTTGCTCGAGATCCTGTTTCAGAAAGTGCAAAATCAATGATGATCCTTCAGTGATCGTCCAAGGTTCTGCAAATACTTAAATTAAAAGTGAAAAGGGACTATGAAAGTGAAAGTGAGTGTGAAAATATCAAACAATATATAATTGGTGTAAAGCATATTATGACTATGAAAAGAGAACCGGACCTGAGGCGATATCGTGTTCCTACTTGGGCTTTCAGAGTCCTTGTCACAATTTCCCGGGTTCCACACAATCACACCGCCCCACATCTATAGAACAAAATGACAAGATGCCATTGTTTTCACAAAGAAGGTCTACCAACAGATTATGAAAAGGAAAGAAAATATTGATGTGTGGAAACTAACCGGAGATATGAAGCCATTTGTTTTAGATATCTCCCCATTTGGTAACTGCAAAAGAAGAGGGCATTCTTTTCCGGATGGAATATATCTGACAATATGAGGAAAGATCATAGAGTTGAGATATTTCTGTGCAAACATATCTGCTCAGTTTATCAGGAAACAATATAGTATAGTCACAGCATCAAGCAGCATAATAAGCAAGGATGGGCAGAGTTAAATAATATACACCACAAATTGCAGTATTTTGGACCGTCCACTGGCTCCAGCAGAAGTATCCAAGTGCCATTCGTTCGAATTCACCTGGAAAAACCATTTAAGATGATCTTTTAAGCAATCAGTTATATCCAAATTAGCCATGGAGATGGTGAGAAAGGGTACGTACGAAAAAGGGAAGATCACTGGTCCTAAAGACGTAGCTATGAAGTTTTTTATCCCAAGATGAAAACGAAGACTTCGGTGTATGATACAAAACCTAAAGACAGAGAAAACATAGATCAGTAGCTCGAGAGAATAGCAAAGATGCCAAAGATTAGGGTCCCGTGGCGAATGCTACCTGACTTTCAACACTTATATTAGCTATAGGTGCTAAGGCCTTAGTCACTGGAGCCAACAATGCCTCGTCTATCCTTTGAAAGTCCCTGTGAACATAGTGCACAGACAACAGGTCACAGGCAAGTACTTAGACAAACAAAGACCAGCAAAAGAAACGGTAAACACAAGATTTCCTAAAGGCTAAGGCTGAAACGAATGTTATGATGGTAATACATATTTTCGAGAAAAGCTTCAAGTGTATATATATCCAATTAAATTGTGAGAAAGCAGAACACTTGGATCATTACCAATCGTAGACCCAATCACGTGGATTAGAATTTAATAGACTGAACGAAAGAACAATCCTGCCATCTGATCCAACAGGCATAAACTCTCCCTGAATTGAGTCTTCTTCTCTCCCACCATTCATAAACACCTTAACGAAAATCTCAGAAACTCTAGCCACCATGTCACCATATCTTTCTTCTAATCCATTCCCCACAATCCACGCATGCCTTCGCTTGCCCACCACAGCCTTTACCTCATCTCCACCATTGGCATTCTCTTTATTCACCACAACAACACTGTACATTTTCCCACTCTCCTCAGAACAGCCACTAAACACATGATTCAGTGACTCATCCACTGTATCATCCACTCCAACACCAAAATCATTTCTCTTGATAACTCCACAGCGGTAAGAGCACGTAGTAGCACTGTGCGCAAGTGATTCAGAGCACTGGTCATCTCGGTTCTGGACGGTGACAGAGAGGGAAAAATCGCAAGAACCACATTGTGAATTTTGATGAGTTAACTGATTTATACCATCTTGTATCTGAGATCGCAAAGTCTCTGCATCCGTCGATTGGAAACCGACGAATACAGCGTGGAAATTGCAAGGGAAACGCAAAGGAGTAGACTTAATTTGATCGGAGAGCGAATCGATGTCGTGGAACGGTAACGGAGAGCGATATATTTCCACTGACTTCCACAGAAATGGCACACCTGAAACCTCCGATATCGGTAATGAGTAAAGCAAAGGAAGCAAAATCGAAAAGTCGGAGCTCAAGAGATGAAGAAGACCAAAAAATAATACCTAAAAGGAATGAAAAGAGTACAGAGGTGGTGATGAAGAGACGCTTCAATCCAGGTTTGGTAGAACGCATAGTCTTCGGATCAAACTCCGGCGTGATTCCCGGATTCAGACGATCGGAGGTTTCTTCCATCGGTGTTTTCCTAGAGTTGCAGATGCCACAGCACTTGCTCGAACTCTCTCTTGCGTCGATTTTGTCAGTGCCTGCGATGTAAAATATACAGTCTTCTATCTAAAGTAGGTACTTTTGTTCAAATGGCCGTCTTAGCTCAGTGGTAGAGCGCGTGGCTTTTAACCACGTGGCCGTGGGTTCGATCCCCACAGACGGCGTTAGATCCTTTTTTTCCCTTGATGGTTCTTTACTAACTACTATGAAAGTTTCATTGTTTAGATGGCTTCTCTCACTCATGTTGTTTATTTTCGTATTAAGTTTTTAACATTTGGAAGACAGCATCAATGGGTGAAGAACCAAGAGCAATTCCATTACCTTCCAGCAAAAAATAAACGAGTACAAGAATTCCTCCGATGCCATTTCCGCATAAACTATTACAAATTACAAGCCATTCGTTTACAAACACTCTAAAACTCTATCAAAGAGCTTATATATCACTTCAGGTTTTTTTTGTTCCTACCAAAATCTGGCTTTGGAGATTCTGGTTGTCTTCTAGCAATCTGTCATACTCCAACAATAGCTCTGAAGACTGCTTTTGAAGAGCTGTCACATGGGCTTCAGCTGTTTCAAGCTTCGTTTCTTTCTCTTTGGATTCCTTCTCTGCTTTCTTCAGATTCTCTGAAACACAGGACAGTTTTTCTTTCAGCTGCTTAATTTCCTTGGATGTCTTCTCTTCTTTCTCCTTCAGTTCGGTTCTCTCCTTCCTAAGTTGTTCCAGTTCTCCTTTCGATGACCCGACATTGCTTCTTAAAGTGATTAGCTTTTCGAGGTAATGATGTGTCCGGTCAATGATGAAGCCAAAAAAGAGCACAACACCTGCAAGATCATGAGGTCAAAACGTGATTCCAATCATCACAACAAATTTCACTACTCCTTCAAATCCTCCCAAATTTAGTGAACATCAGCAGTACCAAGCACAACTATGGAACCATTGGAATGGACACAATCATAGAGATCCTCCTTGCCAAAAGATATGTATCGCACAAATCAGTTAAATACTTATGTAGGAAATATACCAACAAATTGTTCTTAGTTTTTTCCCACTCACTAAAATCACAGCAATCTTAATTCATTCTTTGCTAATAACTAATAAGATAGGAGCAAGAGCTGAAGTGGGGATTATAACTCTGGGTACAGGGGGAAGAAGATAACTAAATTTGCCCTAATTTTCTATCTAGAACATATCTATTTACACTGAGATTTCATTCAAAGAAAAGAAGAGAGAAACTGACCCATAAGAGAAGCCTCAAGCAAGTGTGTTCTCCAGAGAACTTGATCCATAGGAGACATTGTCCCAAGTTTGGCACCCTTGTTCTGGATCTTGATGATATTCATGAGATTCGACAAGAGGATCACAGACATGGTTCCAGCGATGGTTTTCACAGTAGCAGGACCTTTCCCCAATTTAAGCTGGTCTAAGCTCTTCATTACAAGCTCCCTTAAAGGACCAATCTTCACCAGTAGTAAGAACGCAATCGCACCTTCTACGAACAGAACCAGGAATAGTAACTGAATCATGTCTGATTCCCCCCCTTCCCAGTTCCGACCAAAAGGTAAAGTTTGTGCCTTTAAATCAAAAATTCACTCGCACTGTAAAAACCCTAAACTCTCGTCCTCAATAACAGTTATGGGCATTACACCTTTGGAGCTGAAACCCAATTCCCAGATCGGGAAACGCTAAAACAAAATCAAAATTGGGGGCTCTCCAAAATTCAGTTGCTTCTAAACGAATTCAGCAGCTAAATCGATGGTACCTCCAAGAAACCATGGATTAGAGAACAAAAAAAAACTTAAGAAATTGACGAAGACGATCAGTATCGCACACGGCAGGGCTAAGGATGTGGAGGAGGTCAGCAGCGAGTTCATAGAGTACGAACGAACCAAGTGTTATTTTGCAAAAAAAAAAAAAAAAAAAAAAAAAAAAAAAAAAAAAAAAAAAAAAAAAAAAAGTGTTATTTTGCTTTAACCTTTAGAGAGGTCAATACATTTGTGATTACTGGTTTGACATAAACTTGGTTGAGATTATTGTGGGTCTGTGACCAGTCAAAAAGTGGGATTGTACATGTCCGTTGAGTATAAAAGAAAACACTAATTGTGCATGTGACCACTCTTGGAAATATCTAATTCTTCTAAGAAACTCGCATTCTTCTTATAGATGCTTCATAAGTTTTTGATATTTATACTTCTTCATAAATTCAAAAACGCTTTTTATGGTAGGTTAAAGATAGTAGTAGAAATGGAATTATGGAAGTGGAGTGGATATTATAGTTTGGGTATTAAACTTGTTAATCAATGATTTTGCATATTTCGTCCATGTTTGATTACTTACTAGTAGTAATCGAGGCTAGAGTATGCGTGTAAACAAGAGTGACCGCGCCATCCCAAACTCTTCTACCACCAACCTTTATTTTTTTAAGTAACACATAATTACACTATATTCAATATCCGAAAACAAGTGGTTTTAAATTTTTAATGTGATGGACCGCTAAAGTCAAATACTCAAAAACATATATAATTTGGTGCTTTTACAAGTTGGGTTTTGTAGCCTTTAGGCATAATATATAGACAGTCATTGAAGTCGTCGTCCCCATTAGAATTTATTAGAAGTCAATTTCTCTTCTCTCCTACATCCACGATTGAATTTATATATATACGATAACATATATATATCATGTGGTAATTAATTAGATACTAATATAACAAAATACAATAATTACAGTTGTAATCATGTTGGCATTCACCAGCTAACCTCAGAGACGCCAAAATAAATTAATACGATACTAGTTGTTGTTTTTTTTTTCTCTCTACTACTACATGCTAACAAAATAGTTTATTTTAGAATGCCTCGGATAATGGTACTTATCAATGGGTGTTTAGGAATTGTAACTGCGTAGAGTTATTTCATATCGAACTATGACCCCAGAAGTCATTTTCAAGCTAAGTTCATACAAAGAAATAAAGGTTATATGAAAGCCAAGTTACTTCACCTGCCACTTAAGAAAAGAAAAACTCACTTCCAATTTAGTATAATAAAAATGACTACATGAAAGGTAGTTAAACATGTGGTTCATGTGAAATCCCTCAATTTTGTTCGTAAGGCGTCTCTCTGGTTGAGAAAAAAAAAAAAGGCGTCTCTCTGGCACAAGTGGAAGCGCGTGGCCTTGAGACGCGGCCAAGCCACGTCACACGCCGTAAGGTTTTGAAGGAGTCAATGTAGAGAAGAAACGGAGACATTCAAACTTTACAGAGAGTAACACGAATCGTCAACGCCTTTATATATATACACACATTTTATGTATCTCTCTGATTATATCTCTCTCTGTTTCAGACCTAACCATTGTTGAAGCTTTTCTTCATTTTTCGTTGTAGATCAAGAAATATGGCAGTAAGTTGGAAAACTCTTTTGTATCTAACAAAATTGTGTTATCTCTCCCTCTCGTTTGTTATCATCTCAAATCTTTATGTCAAAAAATGTTTATGACGAAACCATCAGAGTTTCTCGGAATTTTAGCTTATCGATCAGAATTTGCCCGTTCTTTTCCCATTGAATGTTTAAATAAGTTGTTTGATCATATCAGAACAGAGATCTGGGTCTCTGTTTCATATCAGTTGACTTTCGTATTATTCTTCTTCTGAATTCAATCTGTTCAAGTATGTGATGGGAAGCTAGAGCTAGTTCCCATAGTTCTGATTAGGGTTTGTATACATATCGATTTCTTGTACCCCAAGTTTGATCTTTCAAGTTGTCTAAGCTCAGAACCCTTTTGAGTCTTTAACCATTTTCAATGTTGAATGATTGATTGCAGAACCGTCCACACGTTCCAAAGTTTGGGGACTGGAACAACCAAGACCAACCATTCACGGTCGTCTTTGACAACGCAAGGACGAACAAACGACAAGACTTGTACGAATCTATTGAGAAACCTGAGACCAAACCTCAAGAACAAGCTCCTCCTCCTCCTCAGCCTGCTCGTAGAAATCAAAGACCGGAACCCCCAAAACCGGTCAAGGAGGACACGCCGAGAGCACCTCCACCAGCGGAAAAAAACAGAGTCAGAGCTCCACCGGCGGATCAACTCTACGGAGGCGGGGGCAGTGGAGGCGCAGGCAGGAGTGGAAGTGGAAGCGGAGGTGGATTATATGGAGGTTATGGAGGCGGATCAGTCGGGAACCAGCGGCAGCCACCAGCTCCTCGTCCTGTGCAGCCTAGGCAAAATCTCAGAGGCGGCAACAACGGAAGGGTATGAACACACACACACTATATATATGAACTTCGATCTTTGTTTGCATTTTGCATTAACATGTTATTATATGATTGAAGAAGAGTCACATTATAATATATGTGATATGAATGAATTAGTTTTGCTTATAGTCATTATTATGATTTGTAGGGAGGGACAACGATACCGCCATTCCCAGGATCACTAGGTGCAGGGGAGAACATGAGTTACACACACATTTTCGACAAAGTCAAAGAAGAGAGAAACGAAGGTGTCAGACCCTACGGCGGAACAGCCGGAAACACTCCTTCTCGCCCCATCAACAGTCAACATGATCAATCTCCCAAACAAACCTCCTCCTCGGTAATTTATTTATTTGCTATACAATATGTAATTAGAAATACAACTGCTTTGATATCGTTATAATTAATTTGTGTGTTACTGTGAATTGGAATGTGCAGATCTGCTGCTTCTCATGGTGCCGCAAGGGATCTAAATATTGAAGACAATGTACATATTTATGAACTTCTTCTCCTTTTCCCTATTTCAATTGTTTCGGATACATCTTTTTTTCTATTGTAACAAAAAAAAAGAGTGAAGTTTTTGGTGACAACGTTGGAGCTTCTACAACTTATTTTTAATTATTTAAAATTTGTCTCTCAAGTATGGATGGTAGTTTGCTCGTGTTGTGTAATTGAATTTTGTTATGAAAAAAGAAAAGAAAAGAAATTTGTTTTTTATTTATTTATTTTTATAGCAAGAAATTTGTTTATTTCAGTTACCGACAAAACATTTGCGTATCAAATAAATGAGTTCATCTTTATAAGAAAAAGCCCACGGGCCTTGGTCAATATTTGGGAGGTGTAGTAAGTAGTAACCAAGTTTGAGTCGTCGTGACCTTGGTCTAAGTAACCAACGAATAAAACAAGAGTCTTCTAACAAAGCGACGACTGTACGATGTGGCATGTGAATTACTTTGGAAAGTACAAGTTAGGACTAATCGTGGAATTGATGATACTTGATAGTGGTCTCAACCACACAAAAAAGTGTAATGGAGTCAAAACAAATCTCATACTAAAGTAGTGTGATCCAGTGTAACCACATTTCGTCAAAACTCTTTTGATAATTATCCTTTGAACCCTTTCGTTTCTCTCATCTCACTCACTCTCCAATTCTGCTTCATCTTCCGCATTTCAAAGGTACAAGCTTTGAATTTCTGCCCTAATTGGCTCTCTATGTCTGGATCTGTCGATTGAGTTCTCTATGTTTGTCTCTTCTGTTTGCTGCTTTTGTTATTTCTTCATGGGTTTTCACTTCCACTGTCACTGGTGGTAGATCTTCCACACTGAAGTAAACTTTACCGCCTTACTGATCACTTTCAAGTTTGAATTTTTTTTGGTTCCGTTTGACTAATTTTGACAAAAATCTTGAATTTTTTTCCCGAGTTCTTATAATTCCTGGGGAAATCTGATGAAAGGTGACAAAATCTTTGATTTTTTTGTTGAGAAGTTAATCTTTGTCCTTTTTTTGTCCGAAGATGACCTTGACCTAAACTTGAGAGTACCCTAATTCAGTAGTGACTCATATTATTTGTGACTGTAAGGTTGGTTTAACTCTGTGTTGAAAGATGACTTCTCGGGTGGTGAGGACTAATATGAGACTTCGAAGGAGGGATGGTGTGAGTGTGACTCAAAACGAACACCAGGAAGGTCAACAAGGGGCTGAACAAGCTCCAACGGTTCCTCAGATTGTGTCTACTCCTCCTAGGATCAATATAGTTGCTATTGAAGATGATGATGATGTTGTTGAATCAACTGCATCTGCTTTTGCTCAGGTCTGCTCTCTTCTTTTCCTTTGTTTTCCCCTATTTCAAGTCTTGGTGTTTATGTACAAGTTTATAGATCTGTTTTCATTCTTATTCCAGGCTAAAAACAAATCGAGAAGTGCACGCAGAGGACCTGTAGTAGTTGATGTAGAGTCAGGTGAATTAACATCTTTTACTGTTCTTTTTTACATAGCTACCAGAATTTGAATGGCTTATTTGTGGTGCAGTATCATGTCTTATATAGTTGGGGGAATACACTTATGTGTTTCTTTGTTCACTTTTGTTACTGTGATGGTATGAGTATAGGTGGCACTAATAGAGGCACAAGGCGTCGCTCTGATCAAACTAGTGCTGACTCGGTTGAGCTTAACAAGCCGGTAAGAGATGTGGTGGGGTTTCTTTTTTTCTTAAGTTTTGCTGTTTGGAGTTTGGCTCACCAAGTTTCATTTTCTTGTTCAGAGAAAGTCCAAGGCTGTGGCTCCTCCTGTAGAGGAACCAAAATTTAACTGTCCAATCTGTTTGTGTCCATTTACTGAGGAGGTTTCAACGAAGTGTGGTCATATTTTCTGCAAAGCGTGCATAAAGAATGCGTTATCTCTTCAAGCTAAATGCCCGACGTGTAGGAAAAAAATCACGGCTAAGGACCTTATCCGGGTATTCCTTCCAACTGCTAGATGAATCATACAGAAACATCACCAGTAGCCATGTAATGTAAGTCTAGCTAATGAGATTTGTCTTTTGTGTTGAATTCTAAAAATTGCGCCATTCAGATCCTTTTCTCTCTTCTCTCTTTCAGGGTTAATGGTCTATTGATTCTATCCCCCAACAATGAAGAGATGTTAATGATTCTATCACCCAACAATGAAGAGATGTTCAGTAGTTGTAGTTTGTTATGTCAATATCGTTCGTTTTGTAAGAGAATTATTTAGGAATCATGGAAGACCTATTTTTCTAATGGATATCATTCATTGGTGATCTTCATTATTTGAGTAGTTCCTTATTGCTTAGTGATTGTTGAGATATTTTAGGGAAGATACAGTATTGTTGAATCTTAAGAAAACATTCTACATCCTGAGCCTCTGGTATGCGCAGTTTATGTTCTCACTAAGGTTCACTAGAAGGCAGTGAATGGCATCTGCACATTTCTCTGTTGGTCCACAATTTTTCCTCAAATATTTATGTGATAAGTTTGCACTGTGTTATCATTCACATGCAATCATTGACTCTGCAGATCAAAGAACACGCCCAAAAGCCATGGCCATATTTATTGATCATTAGCTTTACTGTTCATGATAATTGTTTGCAAATGCTCATTACTTGTTCCTCTATGGCCTTAAACAATAGACCCTAACTATGTTCTGATAGCAAAAACGAAAGTACTTTTTAACTTCCAGGAACTCAGAATCAAAGATTGCTTTCAGGGCTTAAACCCGATTGATTCAAGATTATATGTTTCCTATTTGTAGTGTTCTCTTCAATATGTCTGCACAAGAGTTAAAATAAAATTGGTTATACAAGAATGAGAGATATCGAAATCTAAACAAAGATGTCTCTCTTTCTACGAAGGTGTGCGGCGCTTTCTTGGGTCTGTATCGACCTCAGAACGCCCATCTTGGTGAAGAACTAATAGCTCTAGGTCTAGGCACCGGTTTGAAAATCTGTTGCTCTGAACTATTATTCCTTTTCTTCATGATGGATGAGACCGTTGGGCTGTAATAGTCATTACTCCTCTGTGACATTGCTCCTTGTGAATGCATCTTCTTTCCATGGACGAAGCTTCTCTGTTTCTCCAGCATTTCTCTTCTACCATTCGAACTCTTCTGAGGAGTTCCCCATCTGCTGGAGCTCACACAGCTTTGACTCCTTCCAACTCTCTCATGAAGAAACTCGCTTTTTCGTGGGGGAGTTGGGTAGTTTCGGCTTTCTGCTGTTTCTGCAGAATACATTGTCTCTTCCTCACTGCTGTATCCATGATTGTTATATACATAGTGAGCTGCGGCTGGCGGTGAACTTGAGATGACCTCACTGAGAGCACCGTTTACTGAACCTGTCGAAGCAATCTGCGCATCTGATCCCTCAGCGACAATCCCAGCCTCTTCCACTACGTGGTTACCCTGTAGAGAGTTGAGCTCAGGAAGAAAGGTTGTAGCTTTAGGTATCCGTGGAGGAAAGTTGATGTCCAAAAGGTGTACTTGACCTGTCTCATTTCTTAAAGGACCAGAAGTCAACTTTGGCGATTCATATATCTCAGGGGTTGGGATACCCTGCGCATGAGTAGTAGTTCCGCCGCCTTGTGGAATAGTTTTTGAGGTTTCTTCTTCTTTTTCTTCCTCAGCAGCAATAGAAGAACTCGGATGAGTTTGATCTCTTGTGTTAGATGAAGATGGCGTTCCAACATCAGCAGAGTCGTTTGGCTTGAAAACACGGCGCATGGTGAATGAAGTACAAGAACGCTCGCTCTTCTGACCAGAAGACATTAACCGAATAAGAGGCAACTTGGGGTTTGACGTATGTTCATCCAAACTACCTTCCCAATGCTGATTCAGCCAGTCACAGATTACTGGTATGGGTATACCAAACTGCATCATCAGTGTCTTGTTGTTATCTTTCTTCAAAGACGAAGCGGAAGATGACGAAGTTGAGGTTGGTGACGTCGATAGTTTCCTCGGATCACAGATCATGAATGCGAGATTCCCTTGAACATCAAATCCAGCAGATCCAGGACTCCAAATCATTTCATCAGTCGAGAGCTTGATGAGATTGTCGGTAGCTACAACTAACTTTCCCTCGCCGATCTTGAGTTCGTTCTGATTGGCATAGCCTAAGAGGTACACCACACTCCCTAGATCCAGGTTTGGTTTGGAACATGTCTTCAGGTAATGTGGTTGTTGGGTTTGGCTCTGGGAATTTGAGTCTCCATCAACAAGGTCTAAGCCAACAATAGTGAGATCAATAACCGAACTTGTAATGAAAAATCTGCAAATGGCACCAAATAAAGATGACATTCATTTTCTCATAGCTCAAGAACAGAAAACATCATCATTGACCAAACAATCCACACTTCAGATTGATCTAGAGCTTGTTTGATGCAATCAAGAAAATTCTTTTTTGGGAAATATCTGAACAAATGAGTTTTCATGTTTCATGGAAATGCTGAGGATATTGAAATATCAATTTTTTTGGTTTTAAGTTTCTACAATTAAAATTGAAACTTACCAAATTCAGCTACAGATCCAGAATCATTACCATATAACATAAGTACAGTATAAAGCACTTTTCTTTTAGTTTTTGTTTGGAATGACAAAAAGCTATGGATTAATTTTTGAAAATTTGAAGAAGAGCCAAAAAATTTGACGGCATTGAATCAAAAGTTACCCGGATCGTGCTACCGACACTACAGGAAAATCAAAATCGAAAATCAAATTTGAATCAAACTCGAGAGAGTAAAGAGAGAGATGAGACCTGTGAGGGAAGAGAGCGGCGGCGACACCGTTCTGGAGGCGGACCTCGGCGGTTTCGGTGGCGGAGATGGAAGGGAGATTGAGGTGAGTGGTCAGAAGAAGATTCCGGTGAATGAGGAATCCGGTGCCGGAAGTAACACCATTTGGTCCGGAGACAGAGATTCGAGCCATCGCCGGAGCTTTGCCGGAAAAAATGGAAGCTTTCATCTTCTCGCTTTTGCCTACTCCTTTACAAAAGCACCATGAGTCCAATATCACTCCCATTGATTCTGCTCTGAGATGGGTTTTGTTTCAAATTCCCTAATTTGGCAATCTGGATTTTGGGAGAGTGTTTGGATCTGAAAAGGATGGGAATTTAGGAGAGAAGTGTGAATTGGTGGTGAGTTAGTAATAATGGGATTATGGAGACACAACACATGTATGTGTCTGTGTCTGTTTGTGCTGTAAAAACATCAACTTTCTCCGGATTTGGTCTCAATGAAGACCGGAGAATGGGAGAAAACTCAAGAAGAGGCAAGTGAGAGAGAAGCAAGAGACAGGGGAATCGTGAAATGAGTAAAGAGATGTGCTTCTTTAAACTGGCGACTTCTTCTTCTTCTATCACTTTTATTTTTTCCTTTAATTCAAAGGAAAATGTATAAAAATTGGGAAAAATGATTTCTTTATTTGGTTCAAGTGTGCCATTTTGTAAGAAGAAGCAAACAGAGGAAAAGTCTAGAGTGACAGACAGGTCAGGGAGGATCTTGGTCCATGTGATGAACATGGATGGACTTTTTGCTTATTATGTATGATTAGTCTTTTTTTTGCTAATTATGATTAGTGTTTTTTGCTTAACGTTTTCTTTGCTTGTCAATTTGTCTAATCATGGTTTCATTCACTTAAATCTCTCTTTGATATCAATAGATTTGGACATTTATCCAAATTGTTATCAGTTTAACCATTATAGCAAAAAAAGTAAAATTAAAACAACATTTCCATTTCAGAAATCTAGCTTAGAAAAAACTTGAAATAGTTAAATGTTGTTAGATTGATTCAGTTATTGCTGCAAGCCAATTTATTATCAGCATTGAAGTCCAACTTTTTACTTCATAACAAACCAAACTAGAAAATCCAATTCAATCAAATTTTATTTGAGCATTTAAGTTTATCTCAAGTAGTTTAAACTTTAAAGGCTAGACAGCTACAATTTTTGAATTATACCTAGTAGTTAAATTGACAACTTATTTATTATACACGAGAAAAAAGTTACAAACGATATTCCAACAAAAAGTCAATTAACTCGAACTTATCAGAATTGTAATACTATTGTTCAATTCATCATGTTTACAACACAAAAATAAATCCAATTGCAAGTCTTTTGCCTTTAGCGCTTAAGAAATCTTCTGCCTCCGCCATATCCTGCAATATAACAATAGCACCTAAACAAACTAGTACATAATCAACATTAAGAACAGCAAGGAGCACAAGCACTAAGCTATAACTTAATTTACCCTTAATAAGCTATAAGAATTCGAGTTAGCAAAGAAAGAAAAGAGTAAAGAAAGTACATGCTGCAAAAAAACTACTTCTTTAGGACAGGTAGGAGCTGCATTAGACCGATTCCAACCATTAATAGACTATAGCATCCAAGGGACACTACCAAGTATATAGGTAGCTGGTGCAAAGATATACATTAGTAATATTGACTAGCTGAGAACAGCAATAAGCAAAAATGAGAACAACAGAGTCATTACTCACCAACAATGTATGGCTCCGAGCAATAATTGCAGCCTACAAAAGAGCAACCAAAAGGTAGAGACTGGTACCAGCAGGCTCAAAATCTTTACAACAAGCTTCATTGTCGTTGAAAGAAAGCTTATGTAAGATTTGAGTACAGTGTTAAGGCATATAGATACCCGAAAAGAGGACTAAACTAATGCATTTTCACAATTTCTTGCACATTTGGAGCTGGTCACTAACTCAAATTACTCAACTCAAAATGATAGTAATAGAGTGACAATAAATGAGATCTTAGAAGTAAATGACCTCAATGATTCCTTCGGATAACAGAATGCTAATCCCAATCCACTAGGCATAATTTCCACACATCTAAAGCAACTTATGTCCAGACCAGAATCTAGCATAGTCCTGGTAGCTCATAGAACAATACACTGCAACCCAAACAATCAAAATAGGAAGAACAAAAAAAACGACTTCTCATAATTCCTCAGAAACTCAAAGCCAATACACAAAATTTCAAAACATTAAGGCTAAAAGAATTGAAAAGCTGAATCCTGAAATTCATTAAGCTGCCCCAAAACCAAGCTTCTAATAACAAACAAACTCCAATTAACTATCCGAATCAAACCATGTACCCAAAAATCGAATTCAAATTTGATTTATCAAGCAATGATCAGCAGCCATCAGAATGAATTATTAGAAAATGATTTTGTCACGGTTCATTCAGATCAGAGTTACCTCCAATCATCCGAAACTCAAAACCCTTGCGCAAAATTTTCAATCATCATTTGGCAACTTATCGATCAAAGCCAACAACGAAAAGTCGAAAATAAACACAAGACTCATTCTGTAAAAACAAAAAAATAACCACCAAAAAGCTACATAAAACCAACCGAGCCTTTCTTCTAAAGCAAACGAAACAAAAAAATTCAAACAATCAAAAACATGCACCACCATTTGCGGGAGAGATCGAACCCTTAAGCTCACAGATCTCGCCGCCACTCCCAAAGTTCCCACCTTTCAGCTGTTTTAAGCACAGTCGTGTGGTTAGGGTTTTAAAATAATGGGTATAATCGTCATTTCACAAAATAAGCCTTTTATCGTGGATAAGCTAAACCGGTTTCCAAACAGATCTTGCTTCGTTTCAGAAATTATTACGATTGCAGTTGCAATCCCTAATTTAGAAATCTCGGTGCTCTTTTGATCAAATCGGCGATTTTCACGGCATGGCTACGGCTGTTGGTGGCGGAAGCGATGTGGAGGTTGGATTTGCGAAGCTTCAAGGTGAGGATTTCGAGTACTATATGCAGTCTTACTCCATTATACTCGGTCGGAATTCTAAGAAAGCGACCGTCGACGTTGATCTCTCATCCCTCGGCGGTGGGATGAACATTTCGCGCAACCACGCTCGGATCTTCTATGACTTCACACGACGCCGCTTCTCTCTCGAGGTCCTTGGCAAAAATGGCTGCCTCGTTGAAGGTGTTCTTCATCTCCCTGGGAATCCTAATGTCAAGCTCGATTCACAAGACCTTTTGCAGATTGGTGACAAAGAGTTTTACTTTCTCCTACCGGTTCGGAGCATTTTAGGCGGGCCATTGGGACCTAGGCACCACGTCTCAGGGCAAACTAGTGTTGTTCCATACCATAATTATCAGTCAGGTCCGGGTTCTGGGTCGGGTAAAAAGGGTGTCAAGAGTAGAGAGTTGTATGAGTACGATGATGAAGATGATGATGAAGATGACGATGAGGAGGATATCAGAGGCAGTGGAAAGAAAACAAGGAGAGATGGACATGAAGTTTATGCTTCCGGAGGTATAACCAGATTACTCATGATAGCTTAACTTCATTGTGTAACTAAATAGGTTTCAGGTTACGATGCTTACTTGATCAGATCATTCTTTTCTTAGACTTTTGAGTAAAAGTTGTTGTGATTGCTGATTGAACCTTCTTAAAGTTGGATTGCATGATATTGTATCTGCTTCATGTGTGCAGAGAAGAAGAGATCAAAGGTAGATCGTGAAGCTGATGATCAACAATTTTTGCAACTGGAGGAGAAAGATGTTGTATCATCTGTTGCCACTGTGCTTTCCGATTTGTGTGGTCCGGGAGACTGGATGCCCATGGAAAAACTTCATTCGGTGGTTAGTTCTTATTAGAAATTTCCATGCCTCTTTGTTATTTTACAGGATTGTTTAATAGGTCTTCAACAATCTATAGTAGTTAATGGGAACATTAGGAGCATATCAGTCTTAAAAAGTGATATTGCTGGTAGGATTTATCCATTGAAACCAAGCTTGCATGAGGTCCTGGTAGATTTGTTAGAATAGTGCAAAGCTAGGTCCTTGATCAGTTTTCCGATGGAATTGCGCTACTTACTTTGGTATAAGTCTACAAAGTATGTTAATTACTCCACATGTTTTGAATAACTAGATTTGGCAACTACGGCATGTTTCTATAAATCAAGCTATTTGTGATTTAGTATAATGGCTAATGCATGGTAGTGGTTGGTCGGTGACAGATATTAAAGGAGTATGGAAACGTATGGCATCACAGTCGAGTAAGAAGATACCTAACACAAGAAGACTGGGCTATCCCTGAAGCAAAGGGTAAACCATGGTACGGTTTGCTGATGCTACTGAGAAAATACCCGGAGCATTTCGTCATCAACACTAGATCAAAGGGAAGAGTTACCCTTGAATTCGTTTCCCTCGTTACCCTACTCACATGAAAACTTGACCTTAGTGACTCCGATTGAGATTTAAGAAGCTTTTCTCTCTTTTCTTTGTTACATATGTAAAATATTTTGGCACTGATTAGTAACACGCTGTGTCGTTTTTCTGCACCAAAAACGCCACCTTCTTGGTCGTTGCAGTGAGGGATTTTGATTTTCTCTTTCTTACTAACGAACCATCGAGATTTTTCTTTCGTCAAAGAGCAAAAATAAATCATGCACATCAGGGGAAAAAATAAAAATAAACGTACGGATGCAATTCAGAAATCGTTATATGTTTAGTGGAGTTGGGCCATAAAAAGAGAAAAGGCCCAAACAGAGAATGATCCTAACTGGCTCAAGTACGTATCCAGACAATATAAAAAGGTTGGAATGTGGAAACTTAGGGTTATCCTCGTTTCTGTTACAGCCACTAAAGCAAAATTCTGAGATCGAAAAAGCAAAAAAAGAAATCTGGGATCGAAGCTTAACGAGAGAGTAGAGTGAAGATGATCTATGATGTGAACTCTGTTCTGTTCAGATCCTTCCTGAGCCAGAAGGGTAGCTCGTCCGACAAAAGGTACAAAATCTTGTCTTGTCTGATCCGAATATGAGATGATCTCGATGTTGTTCCTAGATCTATCTTAGGTGATGTGTCATTCTTCTCTTCTTCTTAATCTCATCATCTTTGTATGTTTAATCAGGAAAATGGAGGACAAGCCAAGAGAACAGAAGCCCAAAGCCAGCGACAACAAACCTGTTATGAATGAATAGATTAGATCTTCTTGTAATTTCTCTTTACCTTTTCCTGGTATTTCAGTTGTAAGGATCATTTTAATGAATTAAGTTTCTTTCCTTTGCAATTGCCATTTGCCAAATGGATTGGTTTCTTTGGGTTCTTTATCTACTGAGTTTAGTGGCCAATTTCTTCGAGTCAAATCCCAAATTTCTCATCAATATATGTCTGACCATTGATCCCACTAATGGAACCAATACCTTTCTTGTTCTTTTACTGTAACTTCTTGGTCTACTCACAAAACTATCAGTAAGTTCATCTATTTATCATAACGAGTTTCTTTGAGTCTAATTGCAAAACACCAAAAAAATGAGCTTCACAATGAATCCAAAGAAGTTATTGCCACTACCAATAACCAAAATTGAACAGTCAGTTGGTAAAAATCACTACAACCATATATGTGAATGTAAATTGCAGGTCTACATAACTAGTCAGGTTCAGTTCTGTTCCTGCACTCGCTGAAGCTTCTTCTGCACTTTAAGTTTTTGCTGACCAACCCATAGAGGAGACGCCTGAATAAGATTCATGCAACAGCATTAGCAAAGTCAATCTAACACTTGTGGCTTCAAGAGATCAAAGTGAATAATCCCAACCAATAATCTACAGTGATTCATCCATCTGCAACTCAAAAACAAGACCAAAAACAAATCAAAGGTATAAATTTTACCTTGATTATTCTCATTTCCAGTATCATCATCCTCTGGTTCAGAAACTCTCAGTGATTCTTCATCTGCAACTTCGTTACCTCCATTATTACCAGGATCTTTTGTTACGCTCATTTCCTCGCTTCTGTATATAATTCCTGGTCCAGAGGATGGAGTTTCCCAGTAACCTGATTCTCAACCAAACAAAACCGGACCCTTGAGCACAATTCTTCGACAATTAACAGAGAATATTATTTACTAATACTCCCACAAACGCACTTATATAGTCAGGTCGCTTCTTCTCCACGTAAACGCTACGCCAATCAAACATTACAGGAGAAGCCTGCATAAGGTTCATGCCAAGTGCCAACAGTATCAAAACCAATCAGACAGTTCTGAAATTGATCCCCAAGAGTCAGACCAAAATGCTAGCGTGTACCTCTATTGCTGCCTGGGCGGCACTTTCTTCCTTAAACTCCACAAAGCCATAAGAAAAGCTCTACCAGTATCAAGAACCCAAATTAGTGTTTTTGTTTTTACCCCATTAACGATGCTTGTTAGTAGATTAGTTAACATTTACCCTTTTGTGCCTAACTTCAACTCCACCTCTTCTAATTTCTCCAAACTGCTTAAATGCATCCTCAACTAAGGTAATGGTTGCATCAGGAGGAAGTTTTTTAACGCATATGGCTGCACCTTCAGTTATCGCTGGTAATAAACAAAAGAAAAGGCTTTAGATAAAGACACCGAAATATGGAAGCGGCTTTGTTACTCACCATCATTAGCCTCGGAGAAGTCAACAAACTTGAACATGTCAGTCAAAACAAAGTAGCCTTTTTCTTGGGGAGCAAGAAAGAAGTTTTGTGTGAAGTTCCTTGCAGGTCTCTCTTGTGAAGTGAAGTAGCCATCAGCAACGACGAGGATACCCCCACTATGAGATTCTTGGGACATGAGACTGGTTACCTCAACCGTATCAAAATCACTAGAAGATAGCATATCAAGATCCTCAATCATGTCCTGTTCCAAGATAAGGAATCAGTAACAGAGAAAAGATTTCACCAACGTTACTTGAAAACGACTCAGGGATCATGAAAAGTATCTAACCTGTAAGGTAGAGGAACGCATCGTTCCATCAAGTCCAGGCCGTGTAATCTTACTGACATCTTTATAGTAGCGAGGGAGAAGCTTCGGGGAGTTTTGCAAGGTCTTATAGTAGTGCTCTGCAAATCCATCCCCCGCCTATACGTTTTATACAGAGAGTTTCAATCACAGGAAAATGAAATCCGATGGAACAGAGCATACAGTTGATTAGATTTACTATACCGTTTTAGCCGAATGTTGTGCAGGAGGATCCATTGGTTCAGAGAGTTAAGCAATGCCCTGAATCTAAAGATCAAATTCCAAACTCAAGATCCTTGAATCTAGCCAAGTACATAAGCATATAACCAAAGAATCCAATCTTGAGCAAAAGATTGTTAAGAAAATGAAGGAAGAAGCAAAGATTTTGCCTTTACGTTCCACCGAGGTCTGCGACACCAACTTCAATGGCGGATTCTAGGGTTTATTCGCGAGAAGGAAGAAGCAGGTAAGAGACGAAGAGCGTGAGAGAACTTTTTTTTTATTTGGCTTTCTCGTTTCGTTTCAGTCGCAGAGAGCAGCGCTAAAACGAGTCTACGTCTAACCGTTGACCGTTTTATTTTGAAGGAAGAGTAAAAAATATTCAACGCTGTTGGTTATATATAATCTTTTATGGTTAACCGAATATGTTACCTATGTAATTATATTTATGCTCACATTAAACGTAACTAAAGTTTCTATGTGGATTATATTATTTAGCTTAAATTTATCTCCTTTAATGGTCACACACCCAGATTTTCAAGCTTTCTCCTCTAAAACCTTAACAAAAATCCCAGCCATTGATTGAAAATATGTCTGGCCATTGATGCCACTTTAAGAACCAATATCTCTGCGTGTTCTTTTACTGTAACTTCCTAGTCAAGTCACAAATCAATCATTATAATTACATATATAGCTAGTCAAGTATAGTTTGGATTCCCTTCTTCTTCCACCGGAATTTGACCAACTCCTCCTGTTTCTTTCATTAGTAGCCAGTTTCATCGAGTCAAAATTCCAAAATTCCTCAACAAAAATCCCATTGATTGATCCATAATAAGTCTGACCATTGATGCCACTAAAGGAACCAATACCTCACAAAACAATCAGTAAGTTATTTTATATATATATGGTCATAAAACACCCAAATAAAAAGCCTCAATATCTTCTACATAACTAGTCAGGTTCAGTTTTGATTCCTCTTCTTGTTCCTCCATTATCTGCTCATAGTCCCAAGAATGATCAACTTCTGTTTGTCCCGCTTCCTCCTGAAGCTTACTCGCTGATAAATAAACAAAAGATATATGTCAAATAGAGTTGATAAAATATGAAGGCTGCTTACAATTGAACTGATACCATTATTAGCTTCGTGAGCTTCTGTTCCTCTCACTTCCTCACCAACTCCTCTTGTTTCTTTCATTTGCTCCCTTGTATATCTGTTTTGATTGTATTGTCGCCCTTCTTCCTCCTGAATCTTCCTCTCTTCCTCCGTTAACTTCTCCCAGTTTTGGTTCTCTTCTTCCTCCAGACCAACTCCTTCTGTTCCTCTCACTTCCTCGCTTCTATATCTGTTTTGATTGTATTGTCGCCCTTCTTCCTCGTGAATCTTCCTCTGTTCCTCCGTTAAAGTCTCCCAGTTTTGGTTCTCTTCTTCTTCCAGACCAAATTCTTCTGTTCCTCTCACTTCCTCGCTTGTATATCTGTTTTGATTGTGTTGTCGTCCTTGTTCCTCCTGAAACTTCATCTGCTCCTCCGATTGATCCATAATCTTTTGCCAGTTGTGCAAGTCATAAACTTCAGTTCCTCTCGATCCCATCATTAACTTCTGCCAGACGTCTGTTCCTCTCACTTCCTCCATCATCTTCTGCCAGTTACAAAAGGGGTTACCTAGTGATCCTCTCACTCCCTCGCCTCTGTGTATGTTTCCTGGTCCAGCTACAAAAGGACTTTCACCGTAACCTGATTCCAAACCAAACAAAACCGGAGCCTACTTGAGCACAATTCTTTGATCGTTACAGAGACTAACTAATACCTTCCACATACTCACCATTATAGTAAGATCGCTTCTTCTGCACGGGAATTCTGTACCCAAAAATACTTAGAGGAGACGCCTGAATAAGATTCATGCCAGCATTATCAAAACACCGATCAGACAGTTAAACAAGGGTCATCAAGGTCCAAAGCGCCTACCATTATTGCCCTGTTGGCGGCCTCTTCTTCCTCAAACTCCACAAAAGCATAGTTCCCTTTATAGTACTACCAGTTTTATACAAGTAGACAAATTAGTGTTTCCATGAAGAAGAAAGTTTTCCAAAAAAAATGCTTGTTAGTTGAATAACATTTTACCTTTTTGTTTCTAATATCAACTCCACCTCTTCTAATTTTTCCAAACTGCGTAAATGCATTCTCAACCAAGGCAACGGTTGCTTTTGTAGGAAGCCATGTAAGATAAATGCTTGCCTCAGCTACCGCTGGTAATAAACAAACCAAAGGTTAAAGAGAGTGTATAACTTAAACAAACAGGATAGATAAAGATAAAATAGGAGAAAATCAAATTTTTTACCTTGAGACTCCTGACTGTTCCCATTTCTAGGTTTTATCTCTGGAGAATAACCACAAGACGAAAAATGTTGATGATTGGAGTGTCCACTTACAACCGAGGCATGAGATAGCTTGGGAACTTTTTCAAAACCTTGACTTGGTTCGGAAACTCTCAGTGCAGCTTCCTCCGTTTCTGGAACTTTCTCCTCTGTGACTGAACCATTCACATTAAATCTAGGTCTTAGACACTTACTTCCTTGCAAAGCAAAACATGGAGGCTGCTGTTACTCACCATCATTAGCAGATGGAATGGCTGCATTAGCCTCGGGTATATCAACAAACTTGAACATGTCGGTCAAAACAAAGTAGCCGTCTTCTTGGGGAGCAAGAAAGACACTTTGTGTGAAGTGCTTTGCAGGTCTCTCGTTGAAAGTGAAGTAGCCATAAACAGCCACGAGGATACCCTGCTCACGAGAATCTTGGGACGTGACACTGGTTATCACAACCGAATCAAAACCATCAGAAGATTGTATTTTAAGATCATTCTCATCCACATCCTGTTCCAAGATTAGGAATCATTCAGAACAAAGATTTCACCAAAAGTTACTAAGTCGATCAGGAAAAGTATCTTTACCGATAAAGTGAAGACACGCATGGTTCCATCTAGTCCAGGCCGTGAAATCGTACTGTTATCTTTATAAAACGTATAGAGATTATCCGGGGAGTTTTGCAAGGTCTGATAGTATTGCCTTGCAAATTCATCCCCCACCTACGTTTCATACAGAGAGTTACAATCACAGGAAAATGAAATCCGAAGAACAGAGCATACAGTTGTTGGATTCTATATAATACCTGTTTTGCAGAATATGAATGACCAACAACTCCTTCTGTTCCTCTCACTTCCTCGCTTGTATATCTGTTTTGATTGTGTTGTCGTCCTTGTTCCTCCTGAAACTTCATCTGCTCCTCCGATTGATCCATACTCTTTTGCCAGTTGTGCAAGTCATTAACTTCTGTTCCTCTCATTCCCTCGCCTCTGTGTATGTTTCCTGGTCCAGCGGATGGACTTTCACAGTAACCTGATTCTAAAACCAAACAAAACTAGAGCCTTCAGGGCAATTCTTTGATCGTTACATAGACTAACTAATACCTCCCACATACTCACTTCTATAGTAAGGTCGCTTCTTCTCCACGTCAGTTGTGTACCCATCAATATTTAAAGGAGACGCCTGAATAAGATTCATGCCAGCATTATCAAAGTCAATCTAACACGTGTGGCTTCAAGAGATCAAAGTGAATCCTAACCAAGACTCAGAGCAAATGTATAAAAAAGGTCCAGGTCCAAAGCACGTACTTTTATTGCCCTCTCGGCAGCATCTGCTTCCTCAAACTCCACAAAAGCATACCAATAGTTCTACCAGTTTCATACAAGTGTAACCAAATTAGCGTTTCCATTAATAAGAAAAATGCTTGTTAGTAGATTACTCAAACACTTACCGACATAGCAGGGTTTCTAACTTGAATTCGTCCCTTTTTAATTTGTCCAAACTGCTTAAATACCCTCTCAACCAAGGCAATGGTTGCATTTGGAGGAAGGTTTTGAACACAAATGCCTCCAGCTTCCTCAAATTTTTTACCTTGAGACTCCTGACTGTTCCCATTTCCAGTATCATCACCTGCATCAGCTTTTATATCTGTAGAATGATCACAAGACGAAGAGTTTTGACCTGATTCTGAACCAAACAAAACTAAAGCCTTGAGCACAATTGTTTGACAGTTACAGAGACTAACTAATACTCACTTTTGTAGTAAGGTTGCTTCTTCTCCAAGTAAATTCTGTACCCATCAATACTTAGAGGAGACGCCTGAATAAGATTCATGCCAGCATTATCAAAACACCGATCAAACAGTTAAACAAGGGTCATCAAGGTCCAAAGCGCCTACCATTATTGCCCTGTTGGCGGCATCTGCTTCCTCAAACTCCACATAAGCATATTGCCCTTCATAGTACTACCAGTTTTATACAAGTAGACAAATTAGTGTTTCCATGAAGAAGAAAGTGTTAAAAAAAAAATGCTTGTTAGTTGAATAACATTTTACCTTTGTGCTTCTAACTTTAACTCCACCTCTTCTAATTTCCCCAAACTGCTTAAGTGCATTCTTAACCAAGGCAATGGTTGCATATAGAGGAAGATTTTTCACGCAAATGGCTGCACCCTCAGATACCACTGGTAATAAACAAACCAAATTGTTAAAGAGAGATTGTAAATAAACAAACATGATAGATAAAAGATATAAAATGGGAGAAAATCAATTTTTTTACTTTGAGACTCCCGACTGTTCCCATTTATAGGTTTTATCTCTGGAGAATAATCACAAGACGAAAAATGTTGACCTTGACCTATTCGTATTTCCTTCATCACCTTCACGTATTATTAATTATGAGTACCCAAATCCCGAAGTTAAACATGTAGATTATTGTGGAGTGTCCACTTACAACAGAGGCATAAGATAGCCTGGGGACATTTTCAGAAACTCTCAGTGCAGCTTCCTCTGTTTCTGGAACATTCTCCTCTATGACTGAACCATTCGCATTAAATCAAGGTCTTAGACACTTACTTCCTCGCAAAGCAAAATATGGAGGCTGCTTAAAATTGAACTGTTACTCACCATCATTAGCCTCGGGTATATCAACAAACTTGAACATGTCGGTCAAAACAAAGTAGCCTTTTTCTTGGGGAGCAAGAAAGAAACTTTGTGTGAAGTTCCTCGCAGGTCTCTCGTTGAAAGTGAAGTAGCCATAAACAGCGACGGCAATACCCTTCTCATGAGAGTCTTGGGACGTGACACTGGTTACCTCAACCGAATCAAAACCACCAGAAGATTGCATTTTAAGATCATTCTCATCCACATCCTGTTCCAAGATTAGGACTCATTCAGAACCAAGATTTCACCAATGTTTACCTAAGTCAATCAGGAAAAGTATCTTTACCGATAAAGTGAAGACACGCATCGTTCCATCGAGTCCAGGCCGTGAAATCTTACTGTTGTCTTTATAAAGCAGAGAGATATTTTCCGGGGAGTTTTGCAAGATCTGATAGTATTGCCTTGCAAATTCATCCCCCACCTACGTTTTACACAGAGAGTTACAATCACAGGAAAATGAAATCCGAAGAACAGAGCATACAGTTGTTGGATTCTATATAATACCTGTTTTGCAGAATATGGATGAGGATCCATCGATACAGAGAATAAGCAATGCCCTGTATCTAAAGATCAAGTTCCAACGCAAAATCGTTAGATCTTGCGAACATAATCATAAAAGGAATGGCTTATCTGTTAAGAAGATGAAGAAAGAAGTATAAAGATTGTCTTCGCGTTTCACTAAATCCCCACAACCAAACGCGAAAGATGCCGAAATCGTTGAAAGCAGACTCACCTGAAATTACACCGAGGGATAGAGAGATGTTTGTGGTAGTGAAGAAGATTGAATATGAGTAGCTTCGAGTTCTGCGAGACCCACGTCAATGGCGGTTCCTAGGATTTATTCGCGAGAAGGAAGAAGCACAGTAAGGGACGAAGAGCGCGAGAGAAAAAGATGCTGAGATTTTTTTATTTTATTTTTTTTCGTTTCACTCGCAAAGAGTCAGTCTTATTTATGCAATTTCGTAAGATGTTTATATTTACAATGGCCACTGATCGTTGAGCGTTTTCGTTTGTTTGTTAATAAATCTGTTATGGTTAACTGATTTTTTTTTTCGTTTTCTTTTCGTAGAGAAGCCGAAAGATTTTCAAGTTTTTCATGGGACCAATTGCCGGAAATTGTTAAATCTTTTGTGTTTCTTTTAATGACGAATTCAATCAAATCATATGAAACCGAATAGACAAATATATATGTAACTACGAATTCTTCATTTTTACTAATGCGTTAAGAAGACGTGACAATGCAACAAAATTAAGTGTTAAATTAGTTGAAAAATGTTAAGAAGAAAAAACAAAATCTAAGAAACCACCGATAGAGAGAGTCCCTTCGAACTCAAAATGTCCATCAGTGAGTGAAACATATATACATAAAAAGTAAAAAACACAAGACAGAGAGTAACTAAAGGTGAAACTGTAGTTCACAAAGTTGAGGGAACAACAGTTATATGCCTCAACGGATGTGACACATTAGTCCCACCGGCGTGAACGATGAACTCAGCCGGCGAGAAAGACGTTCCATGGCAGACACAGATTATACTGATCTCTGATTTTGAGTACCGGTATAGAAAGCCATTTACGGTTTTGCCCTCGGGACCGTTACCGGTGCTAGTCACGCAAGGCATCTGAGCAAACGGAAGCAATCTGCCGTTACCGTTACTGTTGGTATGCGGTTTTGGTGGCTTCCCAGTCATTTTGGTTACAGAGTTGGACAATGCTTGGGTCTCCACTACCACCGCATCTTTTGAACCGTCTGTGCTATGCACGGTTTGCTCTGTACCGGTCTGAATGCTGTTAACCGGAGGTCTAAGCGGTTTGGTTTGGCCAGATTGTGCCCCAATGTCGCCACTTCCACCTGAACATTAACCATAATTCCGAATCATCTTCACGCAAATACCATAATTTTCGTGATAGAATCAACACAGAACTATAATATCTTTTGACCCAACAAAAAAAACTATATTTATAATACTATAAACGAGATGCTAGGAAATATAATTTTTGTATTTATTGGGGTTAATATTAAATCAAATTCAAATCTCATCAAACATTTGTTATTCACAATTTTTTTCTTTTCCTAATTTAAATTTTGGAAAGTAAGATTTTAATTAAAAAACTTGCAAATATAAACGAGGTTAATGAAAAACTTTGTCAATAGAAATTCAAATTTTTCAGTGTATACTTATATTTATCACTTTCAAATAATCGTTAAACTAATCTTATTTTTCCTATAGAATCCCGACTTGGTCCAAATATTTATATACCAATTAAAAATTTAATTATTAAAAAAAGTAGTTATATACCTTCGTGGCGAGAAGAGCTGCTGGGATCGGATACGTCGGAGGAGGTGCAAATGGGTGACCCAATCGTAACGTCTTTACTGTTTTCCTTAAGTTGACCCGACCCATAACCGTTACCCATTTTTCTAAAGCTCAAATCCATATCCTCGCCGTTAGTAACTCCGTTACATTCTGTTCTGATCCTCTTGCTCTCTTCTTCTTCTCCGCTTCTCTGCTGCTGCTTCGCCTCCCGCTTCTTCCGCGTTTCCTTTATCCTCGTCACATTCGTCATTTCATCCTCAAGATTAACGCCGGTACCCTTCGCGCATCCAACGGCGTCAGATTGTCGTCCTATTGGTTTAGATTTCTCTGTTTTCTTGAAAGGACCTCCCAGAGAAAGACATAGCTCTAGCTCGACCTCCACATTCTCATCTTCTCCATACTTCGTTGCCATTTATAAATATTCAACAGACATATAATGTCAAAACGAAATTGAAAAAGAGATGGTTTCTTGTCTTCTTCAAATTTGTTCTCTTGAAGGGTTTTGAAGCTTCGCCAACTTTTTGTAAGAGAAGGGAATATTATAAATTTATAAGAGGCGGAGATAATTAAAAAGAGAAGAGAAGGCTTTGGAACATGACACATGTCCGATAATGGTAGTGAGACATGGGCGGTTTCAAAAATACACGTAAGATTCATAATGAATCTGTTAATTAAGAGAAAGGTTAAGAAACTATATTAGCGCTACAACTTCGGATTATCGATAAACGCTTTCCATTTATTTTGTTGGTTTCTATTTCCATTGGTTGTAAAAATCAACGTAAAATTTTGACGAAAAGTACCAAGGCCGCCACGTGTAACACGTGTATGAAAACAGTTAACACGTGTACACTGAGATCCTGCTGGCTTGACGAGGACACGTTGAGTTTTCAGTTCCTATGTCTCGTATCTGACTCCGCGAATCTCGAGCACGAACACGACTCCGTGATTGACACGTGGCGAGCATCTTCGAGAGACAGTGTAATAGGTTAGACAGGCCAGGTCAGCAAATGACGCCGTTTCGGTTAATCTCATCTGATGTGTGTCCACGTGGTTCATGTTGGCCGGATTCATGGGCACGTGGTAGATGACAAATGGCCGTAAAGAACTATGTGGTGATAAATGACTCGTGTCCTGCTTCGAATCGTGGAACAGCTTGTTGAAGTTGCTTTATTACAGCTTATCTATTAAAAGTTCCAGCCTTCCTCTTGCATGAATTGCACCTGGAAAGTGGAAAAAGGAAGATTCTTTGAAGATATCGTGGAAAATATTGCAAAGTTAATGTTCTTTTTCTTCTTGTGATTTTTAATTTTATTTTTAGATTGCAAACAAAGGTTTTACAAAAAGAAAACCATTCTTTAACTTTGCTATTTTTTTTACCAATGTGACGATATTTTTAGGGAATATATACAAAGTAATCATGGATTCAAAAAAAATATACAAACTAACCATGTGCTACAGTAACCTGTCTGTTACATGTCGGAATGCATGTGTAATTACGTAAATGTCCTTTGTAACACGCTTTCTTTTCGAATTACATGTGATAGCATAATATATCTCTTTTTATCATGTATTTTTCCCGTACTACACGTTATTTATAAAGAACACATGATATTTTTTGGAAAAAACATTCTATTCATTGTAATATCTGTCTTTATCATGTTATTTTGTAATAATACACGTGTTTTATTAAGAGCACATGTGATTTCTTTTAAAAAAGATGATTATTTTTTAGTAATACACGATTTTTATTAAGATTACATGTGATTTCTTTTTGAAAAGATTCTATTCAGATTAAATTTTCCATAACAATGTTTTTTCTTAAAAAAACTACGTAACAATGTTTTTTTTTAAATATGTTTTTTGAAATATCATGTCTTTTATTTTAATATAACATGCGAAATTTAAATGTTACATGCTATTTTGAAAAATCTTGTTTTGTCTCGCATATCGTTGATCTCGCAACAAACAAATGGTAGTTTTGGTATTTCACATCATCCGACAACGTGGATCCATGACTATTTTGCAACAAAAAACTTTTTTTTTTGCTATTTTCTTAATTTGAGTGTTTTATTTGGCTATTCCCTAATATTACCCATATTTTTATGACCTTTTTCATCATATTTCAATTAGTTTAGGTTTTCGATTATTATTATGCTTGGTCTTTATTTATCATCAAGTATTCAAGTCCTTGATTCAATTGTCTTCTATAAGTTTGCTTTACCCGCGGTTGATGCTCTATATTCCTACATCCAATTATCACATGATTCATATTTCATGCATGCTTATCAGATAAGTATTTATGGACATAAGATTCGGGTCAAGTTTATTAATGGGCTGATGTTCTTAGCTGAGGCCCAAAGAAAGCTGTTTCTTTTGTTGGGTATAATAGTCATTTACCAGAAGAATAATATTTCCTTTAACCGAAAAACATAACTAAACCGACTATCCATGTCCAAGATAAGCTAAATCGGTTTCCAAACAGATCTTATTCCGATTACAATCCCCAATCTGACGGTCTCGATCCTTTTTGATCTCCGACTTCAAAACCGATCAAATCGGCGAATTTCACGTCATGGCTACGGCTGTTGGAGGCGGAAGCGATTTGGAGGTTGGATTTGCGAAGCTTCAAGGTGAGGATTTCGAGTACTATATGCAGTCATACTCCATTATACTCGGCCGGAATTCTAAGAAAGCGACCGTCGACGTGGATCTCTCATCTCTCGGCGGCGGGATGAACATTTCTCGCAACCACGCTCGGATCTTCTATGACTTCACTAGACGACGCTTCTCTCTCGAGGTCCTTGGCAAAAATGGCTGCTTCGTTGAAGGTGTCCTCCATCTCCCTGGGAATCCTAACGTCAAGCTCGATTCACAGGACCTTTTGCAGATTGGTGACAAAGAGTTCTACTTCCTGCTTCCGGTTCGGAGTATCCTAGGCGGGCCATTGGGACCCAGGCACCACGTCTCAGGGCAAACTAGTGTTGTTCCGTACCATAACTATCATTCGGGTCCTGGTTCCGGGTCAGGTAAGAAGGGCGTCCGGAGTAGAGAGTTGTATGAGTACGATGATGAAGATGATGATGACGACGACGATGAGGAGGATATCAGGGGAAGTGGAAAGAAAACAAGGAGAGATGGATATGAAGTAGTATATGCTTCCGGAGGTAAAACCAGATTGCTCATGATAGCTTAATTTCATTATGCAACTAGATATGTTTCAGATTATGATGCTTACTTGATCAGATCAGGCTTGTTTAGACTTTGAGTATAAGTTTTACTGTGGTGATTGCTGATTGAACCTTGTTAGACTTGGATTGAATGATAGTGACACCACGACGTTGTATATGCTTCATGTGTGCAGAGAAGAAGAGATCAAAGGTAGATCGTGAAGCTGATGATCAACAATTTTTGCAACTGGAGGAGAAAGATGTTGTATCATCTGTTGCCACTGTGCTTTCCGATTTGTGTGGTCCGGGAGACTGGATGCCCATGGAAAAACTTCATTCGGTGGTTAGTTCTTATGAGAAATTTCCATGCCTCTTTGTTATTTTACAGGATTGTTTAATAGGTCTTTTACAATCTATAGTAGTTAATGGGAATATTAGGAGCATATCACTGATGGGATTTATCCATTCAAACCAAGCTTGCATGGTGTCTTGGTAGATTTGTGAGAATTAGTGCAAAGCTAGGTCCTTGATCAGTTTTCCGATGGAATTGCGCTACTTACTTTGGTATAAGTCTAGAAAGTATGTTAATTACTCCACATGTTTTAAATAACTAGATTTGGCAACTAAGGCCTGTTCTATGAATCAAGCTCTTTGTGATTCAATATAATGGCTAATGCATGGTAGTGGTTGGTCGGTGACAGATATTAAAGGAGTATGGAAACGTATGGCATCACAGTCGAGTAAGAAGATACCTGACACAAGAAGACTGGGCTATCCCTGAAGCAAAGGGTAAACCATGGTACGGTTTGCTAATGCTACTGAGAAAATACCCGGAGCATTTCGTCATCAACACTAGATCAAAGGGAAGAGTTACCCTTGAATTCGTTTCCCTCGTTTCCCTACTCCCATAATCACCAAGATGATTAGGATGATTGTTAGTAGTATATCTTTAATGTTTCCACGAAATGAGTGTAGAAGTGGGGTTAGTGTTTTGACCTTGGTGACTCGTCGGATTATGCTTTTCTCTCTTTTCTTTGTCACGTTGTGTATGTAGAATGACAATGACATTGATGAGTAAAAAAACACTCTCGGATTTTAACTTTTTCTATCTTTTCTAATACAAGAGATAGCATAAGCTATTTAGTATTTACAGCCATGCTATTCAATACCTTTTAGTTGTTTCCGTATCCGTATGGAGAAAGCTGATTTAATTAGCAGATTTTCTACTGTAGTGATAATGAAAGGAAAAATAAAACGAAAATATATCACAATCCGAAAGTAGTCCTGTACAAATTCAGATAAAGTTGTCTCAAAAGTAGTACTATGCATACCAAGTAAGTAGAGATAAAGTTGTCGGAAGAAAATATTAGTATGGGATTTCGCTGTCTCATACTGTACATCACTTTGTAGTCAACGCATACACTGTTATTAGTCAAAAAACCGTTTGGAGTTTAAGTGAACACACAACACATCAAGAGAGATCATCCCAAATTAGAAGTTTATTTTACAAAATTGAACCTATTAAGTTTTTAGCCTAATGAAAACGCTTTATTCAAACCCAAAAACCTACTTTCTTCTCTTGTTTGATTGTCGGTGGTCAAGATCTAGGCTGCTCGCAATAACATTTGTTGTTTGTTTGTTTTTTTAACAATTTTGTTTTCAATTATAGTTTGGCTGCAGTGCTGCACCAACTTGTGGTTTTTTATACATGGTCTGGCGCTGCTGCACACCTTGCACTTTGCTTACATGTGTACTTGTGTCTATCAACTTGCCTTTTTTTTTTTTTACTTAGAACAATAAATAAAGAAAACTCCTTAGATTCTTGTTTTCCTTGATTGCAACTGGCACGCATTGGGGCAGTACCGCAGTGGCATAAGTTTTTCTGAAAAGAAAAAGACTGATGCATGATAAACGTGAGTGGGAAAGTTGGTGCTTAGAGCTTAGACCATTTCTATTGGTCATTTTTTTATAATTAATTTTAGTATTATTTATTGATGGATGTCTTTAAAATGTGTAAAAATGTTTATAAGTAGATCAATAAATAATATTAAAACTAATTATAAGAAAAAAAATCTAAAAACACTCATAAATCATCACTAATATATACATCTGCTTTACAATCATTGAGTAAAGTTTTTTTTTTTCAATCTTCTGCTGCAGTCACAAACTCAAAATGATTGCAAGATCGAAGTTTGTTTATAGACTCAATTACCCTTGCTATAAAATAACATTATCATCAAATTTAATTATCACCTAGGTTTTGATAAGATTCTTTTGTTTTCTTTTTTCTTAATCACCTCGAGATTTCCAATTTTGTTTGATTAAATAAAAGGGATATGAGAAACAATAGAAAATCTTTTGATACCGATGCATGTGGTATTCAACACTACTTTTTTATTTTTGATAAAGATGCGAGGCTATTTTTTAAATTCAAAATCTTAATCCGACAAAATTTAAATCTATAAAGATGATTGGTTACATACACTGTTTTATTTGTTTTTTTCAAAAAGTGATTTGTCATACCAGAAAAAAAAAGAAGAAGTAATTAGTGTATATATATGTACGATGTATATAGATTGAGTTGAAATTGTCCATTTAACTCCTACAAGCCTAACTAATTCCCCAAATTTCTTAATCACCACTGGTACTAATTACTATGGGCTGTCTAATTTATTTTTCAAATAAGAAATATGCAGCTTGACCTTATAATTAATGGAAAACTGAAATAATTAAAATAACTATCACTAGATGACTAACTTTTACAAATTAGCAAAAGTGATTATGGAAGAATTTTTTATTTGCAACATACAGTAAAACCTCTATAAATTAATAATGTTGGGACCATGAAATTTTATTAATTTAGAGAGGTATTAATTTATCGATAAATTAATAATTATTAATTTATAGAGAGACTTTACTAATTTGTAATTTCTTTAAAACAATTCTATATAAAAATAATTTTTTTCTATATAAACAATATCTTTTAAAAACTAATTACAAGTAAAGAAACAATTATTAAGTTTAAAAAACAACACAAACTTTTTTTGAATAATAGAGTCATATTTCATCAAATTTTTTACATATAATATTTTTAAAAATATATCAAAGTAATTCATATATAACATATATAAATTTATATAATGTGTATATATATATATATATATATATATATATATTGATAAGTTAATACAATTATTAATTTATGATAAAGATGGGACCATATGTTTACATGAGATTTTCAAAAAAATTATTATCTTATTAATTTATCGATTTATGTCATATTTTACACTGGTCCCAACTCGGGACCGGAAGAATTTATTAATTTAGAGAGGTTATTAATTTATAGAGGTTTTACTGTACCTTCAAGAGTGTAAAACTATGCATATTTGTTTTTCATTTAATGTTCTTTCTAATGATATTATATTAAAACAATCTATTTTTAATATAGAACATTATTTTTAACATACACATTATCTCAATTGTTTGCAAAAATTAGCCTAAAACTGGCTCCTTTAATTATGATTTTATCACACATTTTTAACCATTTTGAACTTAGTTACTTCTATCTACCTAATTAACTCAATAATTAATTACTATTATATTTGTTTTGAATGTAAATGAAAACTTATCATAAAATAACATGCAAATATTTATGTAGATGCATAAAAATACAATATATTTTCTTATTTGTCAAAGATAAAGTAATTTTCATAAACACTAAAAAAAAAAACACCATTAAACTTGCTTTTATGTAAATGATATCTAATCATTAAATGGTATAGGTGGATAATGATGTAGATATATTAAGATACTGTTTTTATGTCTCTATAGATATATATATGGATTCTTATTTTAATTTTATTTTTGTCTACATGTCTCCATATGAATGCTCTCACCAAAATAAACTCTTCTTCCTTTTTTTCTCAACGCATTCCTTACGAACTTTGTATACTTTGGCTATATATATATCAAATTAAACCCAAAGAACAAATATGCACAATAAACCATTCTTCTGCCATGGATATCAAAGGTACTTTCCTTGTCCTATCTTTCTTCATTATATTACACAATCTTTTTATACATTTGATATTTACAAATTAACATGCGTATATATGTAAAATCAGTATCAATGCCCTTCCACTATCGATTTGGTAGTTTTTCTTCTCCAAACCATGTTGCAATTATATATAGCTTTGCAAAGAGAGGATCATGATCTCTATATTTGTTTGAAAATCTGTAACAAAAATTTCTTCCTACACCATGGTTTTCTCAGTGGGCTTGAGGAAGGCAACGTTTTCCACTTGATCTAATAAAATATTCATCTCAAGCTAACAAGAGAAAGCTTTTTTTTTTTTTTTGTCCTAAAACTAACACTTTTTCAAATCTCTAATGATTTCTTTATACTCGTAAACGTATAACAGTAGAAACTTATGATACAAATAGTTTGTTTCTTTGATTACTTTAAAAAAATGTAAGTTTGAAAATTCACTGATTTTGCTTTATGAATGCTGAATCTGGAATTTTGATTTGCTTTTGTTTACAGATAATATAGTTTGTTTCAGTTAGAGTATACTACTAATAGAGTAGAGCAACGACTGATCTAAAGCTAGTCTACTAGATTGGTTAGGTAGAGTCTTTAAACATAATCTTGCAATACTGGAGATTTATATTGCATTATACATAAAAAAGAATTGTTTTGGAGATTATCATAGTTTTCTTCTATCTACGGTAATAGATTTTTTTATACCCACATGGAATCCAATAGGTGAAAAAGGAAAATAATCCAGTAGGTAGGTCGGTAATATTATTATTAGGGATGGGGACAAAACACAAGTTGAAAGGTTTGGTGAATTCGAATAGTCTTGATCTTCGCCGCCTTACCTTTCTTTTGAATACTAAAGATTAGGCAAAAAAAAAAAACAAGACACATTTTTTACTGGCAGATGCTTTTGAAAATTACGCTTTCCGATAGCACAATAATTATTATAAAATGAACGATTTGACGACTCCACATATTCCTGGATCAACGGGAACCCTTCGTTTCTTCCCACCCTCGTATTATCCTGTTTCTCAAATTTCTCAGCTTTCCCGGAAAAATCAGCTATTTTTTTTTTTTTTTTCCTGGGAAGGGAAGATTCGTTGTGGTGTGAATTTTAGTGGGCATCTTCAAATTTTCGATTTTTATTCCTTGTCTCTTCTTACCTGATTTGGTGATTTATTACATCAACGACTCGATTCGTTAGATTTCCGGATTTTCAAAAGAGTCACCAACTTCTCTCGTTTTGGGGATTGGAAACCAGCTTTGGATCGAGAGTATTATTGCTGATTTGTGATTTTATTGTTTTTTGGGTACTTTCCCTTTGTGGATCGGATCTGGTTGGTGGCTTCTCAATGGGCGCTTTAGATGAGGGACATTTGAATCTGGACCTTGACATTGGAATGAAAAATGGCTGCATTGACCTTGCTTTCGAGCTCCAACCTGAGACTTTAGCAATCCAAGACGCTGTCAAACTTCTCTTGCAAGCTCTTCACGAGGATGTCAACAGGGAAGGCATCAAAAAGACTCCTTTCCGTGTCGCCAAGGCTCTTCGTGAAGGGACCAGAGGTTATTATATAAATCTCTTGCTCTTTTCTTCATCTTATAAGTTACTCTGTTCTTGAGCTATTGATGATCTTGGTTAGTTTATGTTCCTTATAGTAGCTTGTTACGTGACTGATTTGTGGTTGAATTTCTATTGTTATGATCTCCCTTAAGTTATAATGAGGAAAGTATCAATCTGGTGGCTTGTTTTCTCAGGTTATAAGCTAAAGGTGAAGGACTATGTACAGAGTGCTCTGTTTCCAGAAGCAGGGTTGGATGAAGGAGTTGGGCAAGCAGGAGGAGTGGGAGGACTTGTCGTTGTGAGAGATCTCGATCATTACTCTTACTGCGAATGTTGCTTGCTTCCTTTTCATGTGAGGTGTCACATAGGTTATGTCCCGTCGGGCCAACGAGTTTTAGGACTGAGCAAGTTCTCTCGAGTCACTGATGTTTTCGCCAAGCGGCTCCAAGACCCTCAGCGTTTGGCTGATGATATTTGTTCTGCTCTCCAACATTGGGTCAAACCTTCTGGAGTCGCTGTTGTTCTCGAATGCTCTCACATTCACTTCCCGAGTTTGGACTTGGACTCTCTGCACTTGTCGAGCCACCATGGATTTGTGAAGCTGCTGGTTTCCTCGGGGTCAGGAGTTTTCGAGGATGAAAGCTCGAATCTTTGGGGTGAATTTCGGAGTTTCTTGACGTTCAAAGGTGTAAAAACGCAAGCTTTGTGCAGAAATGGCAGCTCCGTGAAAGAGTGGTGCCCGAGCGTTAAAAGCTCGTCTAAATTCTCACCTGAAGAAGACCCGGAAATGGTTTCTGCTGTTGTTTCCATCCTGAAATCACTGGGAGAAGATCCGTTGAGGAAAGAACTCATTGCTACACCAACTCGATTCCTCAAATGGATGTTGAACTTCCAAAGAACCAACCTCGAGATGAAGCTAAACGGCGTTAACTCTGCCAAAGTCAACGGCGAGGTCAAAGAGAAAAGGCTGCACTGTGAACTGAACATGCCCTTCTGGTCAATGTGCGAGCATCATTTGCTTCCTTTCTATGGTGTTGTTCATATTGGCTACTTTTGTGCTGAAGGATCCAACTCCAATCCTATTGGAAATGCACTCATGAAATCGATTGTACACTTTTATGGGTTCAAGCTTCAAGTGCAAGAGAGGATGACTCGACAGATCGCTGAGACGCTATCGCCTCTTGTTGGCGGGGATGTGATTGTTGTGGCGGAAGCTGGGCATACTTGTATGATCTCTAGAGGAATTGAGAAGTTTGGAAGCAGCACTGCGACAATCGCAGTTTTGGGTCGGTTTTCGAGTGACAATTCCGCAAGAGCCATGTTTCTAAACAAGATTCATACAACTAATGCCTTGAAGACAGATTCAAGCTCTCCATTTTGAGATGGTTTCATGTCTGTTTGTTGTCTTTTTTATGCTTCTGGTTGTCTTTTTTTTCTTTCTTATATGGTAAACACTTCGGAAGTTTAGACTTCCGAAGAAAACCAATGATTTCTTGGTTTTTGATTCTTCTTCATGGCTTCGTTTGTTTCGACATGGAAAATGAATATCTATCTTTATGTTAGGTGTGACATTCTCATAAAATATCCTATACTATTATTTGGGGAGTACACTTTATAAGATACCCTTAACTAACCTTCTCATTTGTAAAAAATTACTTAAGAATGCCATTAGAGATAAAAATTTAAAGAGTAAATTAATTCAGCTCATTAAGGATAAACAAGTCAAATACTAATTTATGCAATTTAATTAATTTAATTATTAAAAACGAAAATATATTATTAATTTAAAAAAAAAGAATGACCAATCAAAATGAACATATAAGATTTGATATCTAACTTACCATATTAATTTGTTATTAATCATTATAGTTCACCTCTCATCTTTATATGATTCTATTTTTATGAAACAAATAAATCATCATATCATCCATATAAACAAAAAAAGTAATTTTTTTCTCCATATGCCAAGATTTGAATTTTTAAAAACGAAATTAAATTGTAAAATCTATGAAGAAAAAAATTTAACGGGTCAAAAATTCACATTTGAGTAATATATTTCTTTTAACCAAAAATAAGTTCAACAAAAATTTAGACTGAGTAACGGGTCAGAATTTGAATATTTATATTCAATTTCATACATTTATTTTTTGAAATGTATTATTTTATATACTATAATAAGATTTTTAAACATTTTAATTTGCAACATATAAAATTAGTTTTACTTGATATTTTTCAAGAATATCATCAATATTTAAAGAATATCATCAATAAATATTCTACTTTGATTTTTGTAAACAAATATTTATAATAGGCAGTGGGTTAAATATAATATATTATATTAACAAATGAGTTATGATCCTTATAATTGTTTGAATATTTCTATTTAATTTCATATAATTCTTTTTTGAAATTCATAATTTTATATACTAAAAGAAATATTTTTAAAGATTTTAATTGGAACATTTAAAAATAGTTTAATTTAATATTTTAATGAATATCATAATTCATAAATATTTAATAGATTAAAAAGATAAAAAAAAATTATAAATACTATAATTTTCTAAAAAGATATATTTAAAATAGTTATAGTAGGCGGAGGGTTACATGTAATATATTATATGATATAAAATTATGATCCTTATAATAGAAGGCATGTTAAGATTATATGATCAGATAGATTAAATAAGGTTGACACCTCAAAATATTTGAAAATTTGATTGTGCAAGCAATTTTGGAAATAACGAATAATAGATTGTGCACGCAATATTTTCATTAGGATTCTAAAATAAAAATATAGACTCCACGCACGGGTTGAATTTGGTATATTATATACTAAATATATGTTCATAACATATTCGATTACGCGAATAATTGATAAATTCCGTAGTTACCTCAAAAAATCTCTATTTCAACAACCAAAGAATTAGAAATTGAAAAAAAAAATTTCTAAATTAATTCAAAATAATAGCTAACTATCTTAATTAATTAAAAATAATCTACGTTTTAGAAGCGATTTATTTATAATATTTTGATTTTTGATCTAACTGAATTATATGCAATCTCATTTTGTGGTTGTTAATATAAATTTACTCATTTTTCAGACTATATTAATTTATTAAAATAATTTTATTTTCTGTTTTCATATCTTTAAAAAAATCCATAATTGAGTATAATTAAAAAAAAAATATTCATTCTAATATTATATATAGGGACTGACAAAAATCTAATTATATTTTTTCAATTACTATTATAATATATCACAACTTTATTCTAAAATATATAATATATAAATTTTATAATAAATAAAATTTAACCCGTACTGTAGTACGGGTGATGATCTAGTATATATATATTTTGTTAGCCATACTGTTACTATTGGACTTTGTTAGCCATATGTTTCCAGAGCTTTAAGTATAAACGTCAATCTTTCCAAAAATGGCACTAAGACAAAAAGGATAAATACAAAGTAATCAGTACACAGAGAAGATCAAGATTGGTATGGATTCCAAGAATAATTTCGACCCAGAAAAGGGGAAACAAAGTAGATACAATTGTAATGTATTAGTGGGTAAATTTATAAGATCTCTCCCCTATTCTCTATATCCTCTCTAATATACAACTTAATGCTAAATCCATCTTCTGATGATGACACAGCCGAATCAAAACTGAACCAAAAGTCTATCAGATGCTTACCGCAGATCTCATTTCCAACAATCACACTCTCGAAAAGATTTTACTCTAAAACCTACACAGCCCTTACTAACTTGAATTGTTCTACTAGGGAAGCCTTTCTCATCTCATGAAGTCAAACCAGTCATACCGCAACATGTCCCATTCCAATTGTGCATCAACCATCATTGGGATGCTTAACCGAGCAAAGAGTCACAACAATGTGATCTGAGGGTGGACCTTTCTCGTGTTGAAATCAATGAACACCACTAGTCAAATCTAGAATGGAACAACGTAGGGAAGAGCTACAATATCAGCAGATTCTATTCTAAGAGCCTGGTTCCAAACTTGCGGATTCTCTACCAGTGAAGTATCAGAATCTGCTCTTTGCTTTTTTAATAATTTACCTGACTGACCAAATAGCCATTCTTGTTCAACATCATCAACCTCATGCAATTCCTCCCTTTTTGGTACATTCAAAATCTGATCCAAATACTTTAAGTCTGAATGAGGCCGCTTCTTTGCAGATGCTTCATCGGTTTTTTTAACTTTCACTGCAGAAACCGGTGGATGGCTTTTGGGTTCTTGAGAATAAATGAATCCATTAATCTTGTGCTCTTTAACCTCTGGATTAGACACTGATTCGTGCAACTCAGAAGCAAGCTTTGGATGTGTTTGGCATGCTCCAAACTTTCTTCCGTTTTCCACGGATGATATAGGAGAAACAACTGGCTTATGTATCTTGTTTTTCCTAGATCCATTCTCTGCATAACACAAGTAAAGAAACTCATGCTAAGAGACAAATAGTAATAACATAAGTAAAACACATTCCCATTTCACATTTAGCACGAAAACCAAAACAAATAGTCCTTTCATAAACACTGAGTGAAAATGAATATACTAATATATAAAGACATCAATGAGTTATCAAGAGTAAGATATAAGGTACATCACATATAATATTTTTTTTTCTTTTTTTGGACGACAAGGCATATATGTTATCTATCTTAACTGAAAAAGAGTTGGATCAAGGAAAGGACTCACCATACAAGAATCCATTTGTCTCAAGATCCTTTCGTTTGCCAAGAATTCCCTCAGCAGTAAGGTTCTTGACGCCCGCCCTTGAAAACTCCTGCTCTCTAAAATCCCTAGTACCCACAACGTCTTGTTCTCTCTCTTTTAATCTGGGTCCTCCCTCTACAAACTTTAGTTTCTCCAGAACATTTTTCTTTATCACCTCAGTTTTCTCCTCGTTCTTCTCTTTACCACTTCCATTTGTTATGTTTTTTGGTTCACTTTTCTTTATCCCTTCATTATCCAATGGCTTATCACTCTTTGTCACACTTTCCCTGCGGTGATTCTTCTCTTGTAGTTCCCTTTTCTTTGCCTGATCATTTTTCTCCACTGGTTTAACTTTAACCTCAGCTCCTTTCCGATCCATGCAAGATGATACTCGGAGAACCGCACTTTCAAACCCTTTTGAAATAGCAGAGTTTCTATGGGTACTGTTTCTCTTTTCGTCAACTTTCGTATGATTGGTTTGAGGAACTGGGCAGGAATTGTTAGTCTCTGTAACTCCACAAGGAAAATCAATCTTTCGTGTACTTTGACTTTCTGTAGCTTCTTCATTTCTGATCCTTCTTGCCAGGTCCTGTATAAACTTAGACTCTCCGTTACCATTATTCTGCAAGGTATTTGTTACAAGTTTTTCTCTGTCCCCGGTGTTCGGCAAAGCAACAGCAGTTTTTTTGTCCTCCGAAGTTCTACTCTTTTCTTTATCTGGATCTTTGTCTTTCCTATCTTTATGTTTCTCTTTTTTCTCCTTCCGTTCCTTACGTTTATCTTTGCTTTTTTCTTTATCCTTTTTCTCCTTTCCTTCTTTCTTTTCTTTATCCTTCTTGTGCTTCTTCTCCTTGTGCTTTTCCTGCAGTTTAAATCACACGAGAAAAACACCACACATATATAAGTGATGATTAGAAGAAAGGCATACAAAGAATTAGTTACCTTCACTTGTCAATTCTTGGGTCAAACCTTTATCAAAAAAAGAGTCAATTCTTGGGTCAACTTAAATAAGTTTTCAGAGAAGAAACCAGGTGAATCATCATTTAAAGACGGACAACCTCCAGTAAGTTGCTAGACTGATATATTTAGCTCAACATACTAATTCTTAAGCTCCTTATACTGCTCTTCCTAATTACATTTCCTGCAGTATCTTAAGATGCTACACAAGCAACTACTCCTCGGAAATTATTCCCTCAAATTCAATAAGGAGTTGACGGTAAAGTTCAGGTCAAATAGACAAACCCTTACGCCAGTAATCAATGGAATACATTATCTAACATCCAACAAAACCACCAGCCACAGAAACACATATTCACTTCAATATTATATGTCAGCATCTCAGCATTCTAAGTTGATCAAGGATCCTGCAAAGCTTGCTGTGTACTTAGAACAATCATAAGAAAAACAAGTGGAAGGGCACTTATGGTTCTCTCATATGAGGTAGTTTAAGTCCACCAGCATTGATGATTCTCATTACAGGTATCAATTCCTCTATCACTACATCACTGTTTTGGGTGATAATATCTCACTCCACCAACTTAAACAGTAATGCTACATTTATAAAAGAAACTTATCTTGAAACAGTCTCTATGACCCTAACTCCAATACTAAATATCTCCTAGAAAACAACACAGAGGCAACAACAAATGCGTCCATTTATCAGAACCTCTAGTGTCATGATTTGCTAAAAAGCCTAGAGGCAAAACGTGTTACCTAAGTACTCTAGTCACTCTCCAATAAAAACAAGCTTAGAAACACCAGAAAAGATGATGATTATCAGAGAATATAGAACCTTTAGTAGAGAGTCTGATGCCTCGGTTGTAATCTTCTTGTCATATCCTGGAGGTGGAAATGGGAAGCAACGAGACATGACCACTACTTATCCGTCAAAACACGTTAAAGTGGTATACTTTAAAACCACTCAAGTTACTTTCTCGCTCCTTTATCCCAGCACCTGACCAGATCAGAATCTATGATCCAGTCCACCATATCAATAAAATCACTTACAAGCTCCAAACTTTCTTTATCATCTCCCAAATTTCACTTCAATTATCCTAAATACACTATAGAATTAGTAATTTTGCACCTCAGAGAACCTCAAGAATTGTCGATAACCTGCCAAACCCATGAGCAGTAAATCAAAACCATCTCTCAATTTCGTAACTCATTAAAAACTTTAGGAGTTAATTAAGATAAATGAGCAGCTCAAAGCACCTTTTATCGGAAGCCGCCAACAAGTTGGCCTCTTTCCGATTGAATCGATACACTTATTCCAATTTTCAATCCCACAGACTCTTTTGACCACAATTAGGGTCTAAATCAGGGCCACGATCCAATCAAACCCTAAAAAAAAAAACAATCGCAAACCAAAATCACCAGCCCATAAGAGAAATTGGTAAGTGCACCAATTGCACACGCAAGAAGAGGTTAAGTAAGAAAAAAAAATACGAAATCTCTAGATAGCACTAATAACGTAAATTAATTTCAAACCTTTGTGGGGAAGAAGACAAAAATTAAGTTTTTTTTCAGATTATGGAAAAAAAGAAATCGACGGTGTTCTTTAAAACGCAGCTTCCGTTATTTTTATTTATTGAAAATCATATACAAGAAAGAGAGATTGGAAGATCTAGATGAGAGAGAGAAGAAGAAGAAGATATACAAACGAAGAAGAAAGTGAGAAATATCTTCTCTTCTCTCTCTCTCTCTCTCTCTCTCTCTATCAATCTCCATGTGTTGGCATATGGGTGCGTATATATATACCTTCTCTTTCTGTATATATATCTGTAATGTTCTTCTGTGTCTTTTTTAATTACGGGCTACTCTTTTATTTATTTGTTCTTCAACGAGAAGAAGAAGATTCTCTCTCTCTCTCTAAACCCCAGCCAATCAAACTGAAACTTTGGTCTGAATTTCGCAAAATGGGATTTATATTTCGAGACAAAAACAAAAGGGCTTTTATTGCAATTCAACATTTGGGCTAAGCCCAATATCAAATACCATTATTTTATTTTAACCGTTAAATAATCCATAAAGAATTAGCAAGTGATGATCCAAGTAAAACAGAGTACTTTACTCCACATTGACCCGAAAGAAAGAAGAATGGTAACAATGGTCAATGGGAGAGGATACAAAGACGGATACTTAAACCCGTTAACGAATGCGGGAAAGAGGGAAGCGACTAATTTCAAGTACCTAGGTCCAGCCCAACTAGGATCCTAACAAGTACTAAACTTTCTATTCAACAAAATCAAGCACACGATTGATTAATATACTGTACTGTACGAGGTTCTCATCCACACTTTATACATTCAAAAGGATTATCCTCTTCGTACAAGCAAAAAAAGCTATACAAAATCTTAAGAGTAATAGTTTTAGAAGGTGGGTCTTTCTCTGCTGTGCAATTGATCCACCAAATCTATGACTTCACTGCAATCACCAGTTTCATCTCCTTCCATGAGACACTCAACATAAGGCAACACTCCACTTTTCTCTACAACTCCATTTGAGGTTAGAAGCTCCATTACGAGCTCACGCGCCCGCTCTGTATCTCCTTCCTTCTTCAAACCTTGAATCACTAGGCAGAAGGATTTGAAACTCGGGACAAACCCGGATTTGAGAACAAGTGTTATCAGCTCCACACACTTGGTGTGTTTCTTCTTGCTGCAATAAGATTCCATGATGATGTCGATGGCCTTCTCGAGATAAACACCGCTCTTGAGTATAGTTTGGACTAGACCGTTGGACTCATCCGTTCTTCCCTCTTTGCATAACCGTGTGACCAAGAAAATACATAACCCGCTGGTAGACCCACCAAGTTGTTCTACCACAGATATGAGTTCCTTGATACATTCAGGATCGGTTTCTCTAAGAGCAATTTCAGAAACAGTGCTCTCATCTGCATTATCAATACCTTTTTGAGATAAGACAAATCCCCGTAGCAAAGAAGAATAGATACGGTCATTTAGTTCATATCCTCTTTCAACCATTGCTCTTACTGTTTCAAGAGCACGGTCTAGTTTTCCATTATTGACATATCCTTTCACCATAACGGTATAAGTAACATGGTTTGGTGAAACTCCTGAATCTTGCATAGCAGAAAGAAGCTTCTCTGCTTCCTCGACTCTCCCAAATTGACAAAGACCATTGATGATGATTGTGTATGGATAGACATTCGGCAAACAACCACTTAACTTCATCAGTTCTAGCATCCTGAAGGAACCGCTAATATCACCTGATCGAATCAACCCATCAACCAATGTTGTGTAAGTCACTACAGAAGGAACTAAACCAAGCTTATTGATTTTCCCAAGCATTGCTAATTCCTCCTTCAGTTTACAACCTTTACTGAGCATATCAAGAATCACGTTCAGGGAGTGAGGAGTTGTCAACATTCTCATTTTAACCAACGTCTCCAGGATAAAAAATGCGTCACGGGTTTTACCAACTTTGCAGACACCATCAATAAGAGTTGTACCTGTTACTTCATCTAGGCTTATTCCTTTTCTAAGCATCAAACCTAAGAACGCGCTAGCAACGTCAGCCTTCCCTTGTTTGCAGAAAGCATTTATTATAGCGGTGAATGTAAGACAATCAGGCTCAAGGTCAAAGGAGTTCATCGAGGTAAGTAGCTTGTACGCCACATTCATATGGCCTTCTCTACAAAGCCCATCGATCAAAACATTATAGCTCACAATGTCAGGTGACAGGCCATTGTCCAGCATTCTCTTCAAAAGGTGCACGGCCTTGTACGGTTTCCCAACTCTACACAACCCTTCCATAAGCTCGTTAAAAGTTCTTACATTTGGTTTGCAAGCCCTCTTCTCCATTACAGTAAGAAGCTCAAAAGCGGGAACAACCCGTCCATCTTTGCAGTAGCCATTTATCAACGCATTGTAAGTTATTACACTGGGAAATATCCCGTCTTTAACCATCTTTCGACAAACCCCATTAGCCTCTTCAATCTTTCCGTCTCTACACAACCCATCAATCAAAACGGTGTAAGTGTGAACGTTTGGTTTGCACCCTCTAGCAATCATCTCATCAAACAAGTTAAAAGCTTTATCAATCAAACCTCTATCGCACAAGGCTTTAATGAGCACAGTATATGTACGTGTGCTTGGTTGGCAACCTTTCTCACCCATTTGATCTTTTAAGCCAAAGGCTTCTTCAAGTCTCCCTACTTCACACAACCCGTGAATCAAAATGGAGTAACTAACAGAGTTTGGTGAACAAGTTCCCTCCCTAGACATTACAGCAAACACCTTGAGTGCATCTCTAAGATTCAATCCACGGCAAAAACCCAGCAACAAAGAAGTGACTATATGGGAATCTAACACAAACCCAATTTTAAGAATCTTACACATGAACATCTCAGCGGCTTCCGTGTATCCATTCTTACACAGAGCATTGACAATGGTTCTATAATCAATCATACCAACAACAAATCCATCAGCTTCCATTCTTCTGTAAGTCACGTAAGCCAAATATCCTAAATCAAGTTTAGCCAAGGACATCAAAAGAGAGCTGTAACAAGGGTAATTTAACCGGAACCCAGAAACCTCTCTCAGCTCATGAAAACAACCCATTAGTTTCAACATCTCTCTCTCGCATCTACTACATTCCCTGATCAACGCAACAATAACATCATGCGCAACTCGATACAATCCGGAAGAAACAATCAGTTTCAAAAGGTGATTTTTCTGAGCTGGGTCAAAACAATACGACGAATGCTTGCAGACCCACATGAAAAAGCGAACGCAAATGTCGTTGTCACTGTGTTGAAGCGAAATGACCTGTGAAGCGACATTTGGGCTCATGTGAGAGACTAGAGATTTAAGAGAACTGTTCTTCTCCCAATTGGGGCTTTTTAGTAAAGATGCAACATTGTGAGCCGCCACTTCATCCGAGGAAAACTGAGAAGGTCGAGAAGAGACGGAGAAGAACGCATTAGAAGACGGAAAAACATGACGCCTCAAAGCTAAGATCTTTCGAGGAATTCTGATATGTATCAGCATACACAGATTGAAGGAGCTGGAGAGAAACAATAAAAGTGATTACTTTAACTAGTGGGTTTAGGGTTTTATCGCTCTGGCTATTGAAGAACACAATGGGGTTTTTGCAGGTGTTGTCTGTTTGAATCGTCTCACGGAGACGATATAGTGCTCCGGTTATGGCTAATTGAAATTGAACCGCACCGAACCAATGCTTCACCTCACACTTACGAATTTTTGGTTTTCAATATTCCCATGTTAATTGATTTTAGTAACTACTTTGATTTTCTCCATCATATTAAGTAAAATTGCACCCAAAACTTTATTTAGTTAAAAATTAAAGTTAAAATAAGATGTCCTGTCCACCTCCGGTAGTAATTCTCGTATTAGCAAATACAAAAGCCAACGAAAGAAAAATGTTGTGTTGAGAGAAAAGTATATCAAGTAACAATAGACACCATTGAGACTGAGCTAAAGGAATTACCGAATTATACTGCAAGACACGGCAAAAATAAACTTGGCCTGACAAATTTCAGACACAAAGATGTTTCTCTTTCTCATTCACAATCCTTGAGCAACTGTTTTTGTGCAATGTACATATATTCTTCAATTGTGAATGACCGACTATCCGAGTGACTGTTGTATAGTTCCCACCAAGTGACCAAAAACTAGTCCTTTATCGCTACATCACCAAATCATCAGCAGAGTAATAGTCCGCAATAAGACGGTACATGTAGGATGGATTGTGTCCTCCCCTGTAACCAAAAAGGTAACGCTATCATCAACTCTTTATCCAAACAAAGTAATGCCATGAAAATGGACCAACCTACAAATATAGAAAGTAGAGGAAACCAAAGATTAGGAGACTTACGTGTCCGTTATAAAGAGACTAACAAGGTTTGGTGGGACATAATCGAATGTTGGGTTGACAACTTGAAGAGACCCGGAGCCAGCTCCAAAATCCAGGCAATCAGAGAACTCACCAAAATCCAACAGTTCAGATGGAGATCTCAGCTCATTTAGTAATACCTCCGGATTGTGAGGATAGAGTGGACACAACTATGATTACATTAGAAACCCCAAGTCAAGTTTTGAGAGCGATCAGCAGTTTGAGAAATTAAACAACAACTCGAAACCAACCTTGTGACTACCAGCTAGAACCACAAATGGGACTGCGTGCTTTTGTGCTGCAAGAGCAGCCATGTTGACACCAACAGGTCCTATAACCCCACCATTAGCCATCACTGCATGAGCTCCAATTATAACCTGTGCATTATCACATCATTTGTAATTTATAATGGCCAGGGAAAAGAAAACGTAAAGTGGGACAAGGATTGTATCTGTACCATATTCACTCGTGATATCATCGCAAACACTGCAGAATCAGTGATCACAGTGGTCTGCAAACCTCTAGCTACCAATTCTTTTGCTAAGAGATGGCCCTGATACCTAATATAATACAGCTGAGTTAGATGGACATAACAGAGAGAACATGAAATTGTTGTGCAAAGCAGAACACACTAACAATGGTAAGGATGAAACATATCGTAAAAGAAGAAACCAAACCTTGGAGCACCTTCGGCTACAAATACACGAAAAGATCTTTTTTTCTCCTTGGCAGCACACAGAAACTCAAGCACTGTTCTTGAGCTACCCAGGGTTAGGATCACCTCACTGACAAAACAGAATTTAGGAATACAAAAGTTGTCATCATGTAAAGACACTGACAAACGACCATTTTCGTTGTCCATGTATTGCATGTTACAGATAATGAATGTTATAGAAAAGAAAAGTACTTCTGATGTATATGCTCTATAGCTTGTTCAGCGATCTGCTCATGACAACCAGCAATCTCATGAATAAGTTGATTCACTCCTTCGATAACATCATGCTTCAGCTTTCGAGTTAATGAACTTTTATCAGCAGCTAAATCAAGGGTAAAGTAGACCATTAATATCAACCAGAAATTATAACTTATTTTTGCTGCCATATAAAATTTTGACCTATGCTTCATTTAAGATAAAATTCCAATAGAAGTGAGACGAACCACCAAAAAACAGATTGATAAGAACAGATATTATTCCCATTTATCTCTATAACTCAGTAACAAAACACAAATTCACCGAGAATTCCAGCAACAAAACGACAGGTAATAGGGTTTACTCCAGATTTCCCTAAACTCCCCCAAGCCTACAAGGTCCCAAAGCAAAACAAAAACCACTTGACACCTAAATCTGTCTAAGATGGCTAAAAAGAAAACCTTATGTATCTGCTTGTTAAAGAGACTGTGAGCCAACATTATTATATTCCTGCCATAACACTTATCTTAATGGCTTACCAATGACATAACTAAAACAGGCGGCATAAGTAAGGATCTATTGAAAAAAAAAGGAGACCCAAAGGCAAGGAACAGGTACATTTACTTTTGCTTTCGGAATCAGCACCGGATGAAGATGTGTATGGAACAGTTGCAGATTCAGGAGTACCCTCGAGAAGCGTTTGCAAAGATGGAGGGCGTAACGTACTCCTAGCAGCAGCTGCAACAACTGCTGCAGACATTGCAGGATACCCAATTCCTTTGCAATTATCTACATCATCATCATCACTTGCATCCAACAAGTCCAAACCACCCATAGCTGCCGTAGTTAGAGAAAGATCTTCCTCCCTTATAATATGCAAAACCCGTCTAACTACATTTCCCACCGCAAGCTCTACAAAAATCATATCCGAATATATCAATTCCTTTCACAGAATAGAAGAGAAGAAGCAAAAAAAGAGAATTCAAGTAGACATACCAACAGGATTAGCAGCGACCAATTGCTCACCAACGGCTTTCACAGCATCGATAAGAGCTGCAGCTTGGTTTGCGTGAGGCACTCGCTGATGCGAAATTACTGACCTAAGTAGCTCTACGGTGCATTTGGCTGTAGCCTGTGAGCCCTCGATCTTACTGTATCATATAATATGATCAAATCAGTAACCATCTTCACAAAGGGTTTTACGAAATTAAGCCGCAAAGAAAGAATTTACCGTTTTCTGAGCTTGTTAACGAATTCCACCACCGTTGATTGGACGTCCGGCATCTTCCTTATCCGAAATTAACGAGAAACTTGAAAGAAAAATGCGAAACCTGAGGCGTTAGATTTCATAAACCCTAATCACGCGCGATTCGCGGCGGGAGGAAGAAGGAAATAGGAGGAACCTAATGTTGAAGATGAGGAAGCAAAATGGATATGCTTACCGGTGAATATGTGACGGTGGGGGACGATAAGGAGACGAAGTAGCAAGAATATTCCGGCGAGAGAGAAACGGTATTGATAAAAGGAGACCAGATTTTTACATTCATTCGCTCTAGTGAAAGAATTAAAGGTTTTGGTAGGTCTAAGTTTTGGGCCGAAATAAGGTGTTATTTGGGCGGGCCGAGAAGAACAAAGCCCAAAACGAAAGCATCTTTAGGTATCTCCTTCCTTTTGAAAAGCTTCTTTGGGACCCAAATTTTAGTTTTGTTTTTGAGTTTTTGACAGAAGGAGAAAGGATCAAATTGAACAAGAAAACTAATACATAACATAAAATTGAACCCAACTTTCTCTATTCCTTATAACCACACCAAATTATTATTCAGAAATATTTCTAAGCAAGATCTATACACTGAACAATTGCCTGAGAGATTGGGCAGAAACATTTCTCTATATATACACTACCAGAAGATCATGAAGCTTTTCTTCTAACCAAACTGGTTCATCATATGCTTCTCTTTCCTTCTTGTTCTTCTGCATTCCCATTCTCCTTGAGCTTATATGCACCATCTACATACAATTCCGTGTCCCACAGGAATGTCCCAAACGCCACAGCCTCGAGAACCAACCGCTTCAGACTCGAAAACGATGTCACGATGGTCTCATCACTCTCTTCCGTGCCAAAAAGGGCCAAACTTTGCTTCTCTATCAGATTCCTTGCCTCCTCTGTCCTTGGTTTGGCGCATCTCTGCAATGTCTCGGGATCGAACCCTGAGATGTAATGTCTCAGCTGCTGCTTGTTGGAGATCTGTGCAGTGCTCGTTGTGAAAGAGCATCCAAAGATAGGACTTTTCAGATATCCGCTTCCATGGAGATCTGATAAGGAACACTCAAGCTGGTGCCTTAGGGAAGCTGATTTCAAGAAGTAACCGTACAAGATCGATGCAGCGTATACTTTCCTGAGATGCAGTTTCTGTATCTGCGTTGTTGCCCAATTGTCAGTCACACATGAATTGACCCGTAATCCGATGACTGCGCTTACATGTTCTTTGATGATCTCAAGGGTATCGCAGCTGTGAATTGACTCTAACTCCCAGTCTTTTGAAGGCCAGATCTCGAGTCTTCCATTGTAGATGCATCTAGATAGCTTTGGAACAAGAGGGACTCTTATCTCGGAGTATTTGTAGAAGATTAGCATGTACATTATGTCTTGGACTGCAGTTTTGCAATAACGTTCCTTGAGTTGAGCTATCCTTCTGCCAACCATGGAATCAGGGTATTAGTGTTCGTAAAAGAGCAGAAGACAGCTGGGAAAATGTTCACAAACAGAGCATAAAATGGCCTGAGCTGCAATTTAAACTTAACAACGAGCTGCATAAACAGGACAATAAGTGGACTCAGAGTCAACACAGGCAAGAAACTAACACAGATGAATAAAACATACTGAAACTAGTTAACGAACTAAAACAACACTGAATGTAAACGCAAAAGCTTGATTAGGTAAAACCAGCCCTTATCGAACACTAAAACAAAACTTGCTTCACAAGGCAGAGTATGAGAAAGCACCAGAAGATCATAACTACAGACTTCTCTTGTTTCAAAACAGCCATATCATTAGTATGAATCTTCGATCACCATAAACACCATCAAACTACTATAACACACACGAATCAGACAACTCATATAATCTGAGTTTGCAAGCTCATGTGGTAAATACACAAACTGATTTGTGAGAGATTAGATAAGCGTATATAACTAATGATTTACACATAAATCTTTATATGTATCCAATTCAAATAATGTTTACGGATTTTTGAATTGTGAGAGATTAGATAAGCAAAGGTTTAACGAACCTGTGGAGAGAAGCCTCATCGGAACCAGAGCTGAGAGACATACGAGCTAAAGCAGCTTCCCTATCATCAGCCAGTTGCTTGAGTTCATCAGCGGCGGCGTAATGAAATAGCTGCCGTTTGTTTAGCAACACGCTTCTCAGAAACCTCCCCTGCGCCGATCGTGGCTCAAGCGGCGCGTTGAGACTGCTTCCAGGCTCACACCGACTCTGTCCCGCCGCCGCAACCACAACCATCGAGCTATACTGGATCTTCCTCGTCGCCGGAATAACAAAACCACCGCCTCCATCGCCGCTCTGTCTCCTGGAACGCGACGGGAGAAACTGAAGCGCCGTTTGATTAGAGAGACAACTACTATCCATTGATCAGATTGAGCGATGAAAAAAACCTAGAAACAGTGGAAAAACCCTAAGGATCTATGATTTGAGAGAGTTTCGGGAATTTGTGAGTGAGAGAAAGAGGAAGAAGAATGATTTAGCGGATTAGTGGGAGAAGTGGCGAAGATTGGATAAGGTTGAAGAGTATCTTTTTATTAAATTATTCATTTTCTACTTTTAGATTAAAAAATATCTGCTTCTGTTTTTTCCAATGGGCTCCTCAATTTGGTGTGTGGTTATTGTTTAACTCCAACTTGACAAGTGCGATTCTGTCATTGGCTATCATGTAAATCTTATTTTCCTTAGCTTTGATATGAGCCACTTATTAGAAATTTCAAGAATCCTACTATCCTAGATTCAAACGGACTCGGCACAAGTCTAATTTGACAGGATTAATAAAACGTAAAATTTGGAAGTTTAGTATACCTCAATTAATAGTCTAAGAGAATTTGAACAGTGTTCGTGAATAATTGTTTCAAAGTCGTATAGTTTACGTAAATTAGTTTAGTCGTATGATTTTCATATTCATTATAGTTAGGTGGTTGATGTTTACAGATATTTGTGTATATGCACATATAAGTAATAGTATAGTTTATGCCTTTATGGGTTATGTGTCTAGATTGATACCTTATCTCAATTATTGGCAATTTTCTAAACAATTGTAAGATGACCCATCGTGTTCTGTGCCTCTGAATATTATAGGATTGGACCGATTGGTGGTCCTCAACTTAATTTACATGTAAAAAACACCCCTAGCTTTCTTCAATCATCCATAGGCTAACAATTTGATTATTTGTTTTTTTTTTTTCCCTTGACAAAGAGTTCCAAATTTGAACCCTTAAATCTTTCTGAAGAAGGGTTCATTGTATGTTGATTAGTATATTTATTAGGTTTGGTGTAACACTAGTTTATCAAACTACAATGATACTTGTAATGTAGTTTTCACTTGAATCTAAATTAAAATTTCAAATTTTGTATTTTATAGATTTTTAGAAACAAGTTTATACTATTTACAAATTTCATCGGCAGTATTTTGGATCAAGGTGTGGTAAAAAAAGAGTTTAGAATGAAAGAGCAGATTCAAGATTTAACTATTTTGGTTTTAATCAACTTCTTGGCCGTAACAAGTTCATATAATGTTTGCTTTGTTGTTTTACTGTTCCTTCAAAAAAATGTTTTCCTGGTCTTGGAAACATACACAGACACATACAAAGAACAACAGCGTCTCGAGTGAGCCATGACTCGTGCGATGTTTTGACTTTGAGTGAATGGCAGACTCATAAATCGTGATATTGAATATTAATCGATAGGATAAGTGGAAGCTCCTATCATAGCGGCGTGTACATTGTTTCCTATCACTTGGGTGGTCCACAAGACCACAACCTAATTTAGAGTTTTCAACCCATCATCTTAAAAGTTGGATTTCAAATGTGAATAGATGAGACAACGGCAAAGATTTAAATCTAAGTGTATGTTCGATTTTAGCATATAAGTGTCAAATATAGTCGTTAAACTAAACTCTTCCTTTTAAATTTATTAATTTTGATAAATCTCCATGGTGATATAACAATTGTACGTATAAGCACGAACCATTAAATTATGTGTCATAGTCTAGTTATTAATTATGTTTTTTTCATAAATTCGTTTTCTTTTTCAATAGATGTAATTAAAGCTAACTAGGAGAAAAAAGAATGGAAAACAAAAGCGGGCATATGAGACATGAATTATGGAGCGCAAAAACATGTCTCTCCACACTAGAAATATGAATGAAATACGAGGAGGAAATTCTAGGGTCGAGAAAATATAACCCCTCAAGGAAAAGTAGAAGGTATACAAACGCATGATTAAAATGAATAACACGACATGCGAAAACATGGTCAAAACTATCAAATCAATAACTAACCAAGAGAGATTGTGTGTAAATAGTTTCCACCGCTTATGAAGTTTTTGTTTTTGTTTGTTAAAGTACAGCTTACGAAGTTGTAAATTTATAGACAACATACAATCCTTTATACAGAAGAGTAAAGTAGAGACACATGTTCATGATTTTTACTTTTTAGCCAAAAGGTCAAAACATTTTCTTTGCAAAGTGAGAATCATGTTCATGGGTCCTATTTCTCTCGATGGCATCCGATTCTCAATAGCTACATGTGTTTTTCAAAAGTAAAATCTTTATATTACTTTCACTACCACTAAAAATCCTAGATCTGAAAATATGTATACTCCACCCCGTATTATAGTAGATGATTTCTTTAATTTTTGTCCTCTAACACTTGCTAATATTCTTAGCAATAAAAACAAGGGAAAGAACAGGCTGAAACTTGCTAACCATTTTTCCCATCAGAACATTAGTAGTAATTTTATTGTTTTGTTAAGGTAAACAGATAAGAGACTGATTGCATTACCGGAAAACGAATTTATTACTCTCACTCATGAGTTTTCATTATTCGCGGGAAGAGAAAAATAAAATAAAATAAATAAACAGCAAATGAACCATAATCACGTGCCGTTTCTAATAGTAATCAAGATACGTAACATCGTACAGAGTCACGTGCTGTTTCCATTAATGAAAGCCGTAACATCGTGCGGTTTTCCCTCGTGTGTCTCTTCTCGACCATGCATTATCGTAACTCGTAAGTCTTCACAATGTCACGCTCGGAAACTCACAGCGTCCGTAGCCTGGTTTCAAACAACAAGAGTACAAAAATTTAGCATCCGGTTTTAACATCCTGATATCACTGAACCGGAACTAATTTATGAGTCGGTTTAATTATGATATGGAATTCGACTTACTTGGATCTTTAATGGTTTGGGTGGCTAAGCCGTTGAAGGAGCAAGTCCCACCGGTCTTACGGAATTGGGCCCAATAAGAGCTAAAGGCGTAGCTGGCGTGCAAAACGGTCAAATCGGGTTTGTGACATGGGCCTCCGCGTTGAATCGGGTCACAGGTATTATTCCCCTGTGAGCAAGCGTACGATAGAGCATCACCTAGCTGAGTCCAATTCGCTCCTTTAGCCACCACGCACCAAATCTTCCCTTTGTAAAGCTCGTTATTCTCCGGCGCCGGCAACGATTCCTTGTACTCCGTCGTCTTCCCCGACAAATCAATCCCGTAGACCTGAGTCCCGTTCGGATGTAGAAGTCCGAAATGCCGCTCCGTACCCGGACCCGTTTTCTGATTCTCGTTGTAAAGCGCGAATACAAACGCCGGTAGAACCTTTCCGGGTCGGGCGGGCGTACCAACGGGCGGGTCAGCGGCGAGTTTCTTGACAACATTGCGATTGTAAGTAGCGGCGTTGTAAATATTTGCTCCAATTTGGTCGTAGTCACCGTTATTGGGCCAACCCGTTTCCGCGACCCAGATCCGAAGATCCGGATACCCGAGTCGTTTCATAGCGAAGACGAAAGCGTCAATCATCTGATCGAATAGGTTGTGGTAGGTCAGATTCGTGACTGGATCCGTGACGGTGACGTTGGTAGATTCGAAAATCGCGTAATCGAGATCCACATGGGTCGGATCTTGAGCCCACGCGAAATACGGGTAGACATCAACGAATAAGAACGATTTAGTCCGGTTTAAGAATTGTAGCATCGGTTTCATTACTAAACCGGAGATATCCGACCGAAACTCGCCGCTCGACGGAGGAAACGAAGATTGGAGAACGTCGACGGCGAGTGAAGTCCCTACTTTGACTTTTTTAACGCCGAGAGACTTCAAGGACCGTTGGATCTTGCGCATTGCGGGAACGAGTGAAGATTTGAGCTCAGAGTCTGGTGAAGAGAGGATCTCGTTGCCGACGAGGAGGTAACGGATCTTGGTGGTTGGGTAAAACGGGAGGATGTTGGATCGGATCCAATCGTCGGAGAGTGATTCTGATTTGGAAATGTTGACGATGAGCTCGTTCGGGACCATGACGGAGACGGTAATGTCGGTGCCGTTTAAGGCGGTGAGGATTTTTGGGTTAGCGTCGTAGAGTTTGACTCGTTTTGCGTTTAGGGATTTGATGAGGTTGACTGAGTCGGCCGGAGACGGGAGGTTGTTTCCGAGCTGGCCGTAGTTGACTCCTGGCCGGCCGGAGAACTTTGCTCCTGTGGAAAAACACAGAGGATTAACATTTTTGGAGGAAATACTAAGCCGCCATTAATGTAGGTGAGTCGAGCTTACCTGAAACAGAGATGAGCAGAGACAGAGCAAGAAGAAGTAGAAGACTCATGATGATAAACTTCTTCTTCTTCTTTTAGGTATCTGAAGCAATAAAAGTAAGAAGCTTTAGTTTGTTGTTTGGAGAAGGAGAGGAAGAGAGGGAGATGAGTATTTGGTAAGAAGAGAGAAGATTGGAGATATTTAATGGCTAGTGTTACGTGTTCCCCATAAAAAAGCCTATGGTTTCGAGTATTTAATCAACTAAAGATACAATGTATTATTGTATTTACGTGATCTATGAGCAGATTTGTTCAGTTTTGGCGTTAACAATGACTATGACTTCTTCTTCTTTTTGTTAGTCTTAATGATTTTCGTAATTGTATATAATCAGATTTTCATTGTTAATTGAATAGACCCTGTTTCTTGCCAATTCTTGTATTTACTAATGTATTCAATTTTTGAAGTGTACGATAACTACCACGTCTTCTCTCTTTTCTTGTTAGTCTTAATGGTTGTATCAACGGTAAGCATATCAATTGAAAAAAAAAAACTCTTTTTCTTGCCAATTCTTGAAGGCCTGTCTTTAAAATAAATTGTGTTTTAGTTAAATTTATTATTTCTGTTTTGGTGATATTTATAATTTTAAATCTAGCTGATATAAACTATTGCTAAAAATATTTCTCACATTTTGTCTACAGAAGCTAGTAATCAACATGACGTTGAAATAATTATATGGGCGCTATGCTTCGTGGGAAATGAGGTAGGTGGGTTAATGAAGAATGGTTCTCAATGGATTTTTTAGTTCAACTCTCATTGTTTATGAACGGAAAAAAATTCTTAACAGATTCTCTCACGAAACTCTCATTGTTCATTGTAGTATTAACGTTGATTCCTAGAAAGTATTAAAAAGTGTGATTTGTCGGGTCTCTAAACGAGTTGGCAAGAAGAGATTTATGTGATGAAAAGGTTATGTAAGTGAATTAGTACAAGACTGCTGATTGGTGTCTTAATTCTAAACAAATCTCAACGGTCGTCTTGTAATAAAGAACTAAAAGCTTAATGAGCGTTGAGAAAAACGAAAAAGTAACGTTCTCATGCTTTTATGATGTGACGTGACATTATGCTCTAGATCTCATTTTTCTTATAATAATGATATAAAAATATCATGAATATAGGCAGTACATTTCTGGTCCGGTAAACCGACCAACCCATATCCGACCGGAATAATCCAGAAATTTATAGGTCTGATAATTTCGATTAATGCGGGTATGGATACGTGTACCGTGTACGAGTCGACTCTAGTATCTGAGAGAAATTTTCCATCGAATTATTCGAAAACAAGAAACGACATTATTAGTCCCTCTCGGACAAGCTCTCTCTTTCTTCTTCCTTTTGTCCTTTTATCCTTTTTTTTTCCTTTTATCCATTTTTCTTTTTCTCTGAGATTTCCACTTGCTTAGATATTTTACCTGCTCCAGTAGTCCTGAGTACATTTAATAGGTCTGTGTTTTATATCTGTCAGGAAATATATAATTATAACATATGGTCATCATAAAAAAAAACTTTTGATAAGTTGTTTTCAACAGTGTTTTTTATAAGCGGTTGTCTTTTAAGTCTGCATTGACTTATCTGGTTTAAGCCCTCGAGACAGGAATGCATGCAAGATATTGATAACTAGTGTCATGTGCTGGCTGCTACGTTACCCTCTTTGGACTTGTAAAGGTCGAGCATATGTGTGTATGTTATACATTTTGCAGTCAGACATTAACATGTCTTTTTTTTTCTCATCAAGACATTAACATATCTATGACGTTATTCAAACACAAAACTGTGCTTGATCTTCTAATTGGGAGAGCTGAGAGAACTTGGGCCTTTAATCATACAAGGGATTGTCAAACAGAATATGGGCCTTAAAACATGAAGAGGCCCAAAATTATTATAACAAATACTAAAACATGGAGATATAGCAGATTTGCAAACATCCGACTAACATTCAGCTCTTCTTTTTGTTTTTCCTGGAAAAGTACATTCAATTCAATAGTATCTTTTATGTATATATAATAAATGAACCCTTAAGAGAGAAACAACAACAACAAATTGCTCAAAAGAATTTGAGAGTGGCATTAGAGCAAATCTTAAAAGATGTTTCTGCCACATCATCCGAAACAAAAACGAACAACCTAACAACAATTTTTGCACAACAAAAAACCCAAGTTTTGGCTTAATACCACAACAAAGACAGGTAGGCAAGTCTTTGGAATCCTCTTCGACGGTTCTTTCTGCCATTCTCTAATACTATCCGTAAAAAAAGGAAGAATCTAAACCAACCCAAGTAGAGTATAAAATCATGTTCCCAAGACAGAAACTTTAAATGAATTGTTTTTATGTATCTATCTGTAACGAAAAGACCTGCGAGTGAGTTGGTTCGTTCCTTCCTGACTTGGTCTTTGGGTCTTGTTCGTTCTTCAGGTGGTATGGTTCAATGTAGTTTTAAACTGAGAAAAAAGGTTAAATAAACTAACTGACCTGTTCCCCGATCAAATCTAGACCGACAACAACGAAAGTGATTCCTTGGAACAAGAGGAAGTAGAAATGGATCCCTTGCGCAGACAACAAGCTTCTCACCGAAGCTGCCAAGAGGATAAACGCAAGTGCGATTTCTGTTCTGTACAGACGGTTTCTTTTGGTTGTGCCAGCTTTCTTTGCTGCTCCTAGTTTGCTAAGCTCGGTCAGACCTGAATCAGAGGATGATCTTTGGATGGTTGTGGACTCGGCCAGAGAACCTGACTCTGCGTATGCAACCAGATCAGCCTCAGAGGATCTCCCAAGCTTTTTGGTGACTACCCACTCGTAAGAACTTCCAAACTTGAACAAACCAGAGATCATAGCTCCAAATTTGGTAACTGACATGGTGTTTTCGAAAAGGAGATATGGAACAATGAAAGGGAAGGATCTTGGGGCTGGGATGATGTTTAAGATGGACATGATCCCAGGGATGTAGCAAACAACCCAAGATGGTAAGTTAGCTTCTGGGAAGAACATTGTTAATGGAAGAATGACGCAGAAGAGCGTGAATGAGTAGAATGGCAAGATAAGCTTCCGTAGCAAGAAGAAGAGAAATATCATATTTGCTTTCTTGGCAACACTCACCTGTAGTAAATTAAAAAAAATGCCAAGTTAAGATCAGACTGAGCTATCAATATGAAAACCTCATGAACATATAATATTCTCAAGTCAGAGCAAGAGGAAAACAATCTCAATATAATTCTCAATCTCACCTTTGACCGAAGAATGTCAAAGAAGCACAAACGGAACAATTGCATTGGACCCGAATGCCAACGGTATTGCTGTTTTTTGTATGCCTCATAGGACTCCGGAAGTTCACAGAGACACTGAGTAAGGGAAATACAGATGGATGAGATCAAAAAGTTCTGTTTTTTAACATCTTCTTAATAAAAGGAAACTTCTGAGGAATTTAGTTAACATAGGTACCTTTACATCATTCAGATAAATGAACTTCCATCCGCAAAGATGCGCACGAACGGCAATATCCATGTCTTCAACAGTTGTTCGCTCCAACCATCCCCCGCAGTCCTCGAGGGCTTTGATTCTCCAAACACCAGCAGTTCCATTAAAGCCAAAGAAGTTAATAAAGACACCATTAACCTGCTGTTCAACTTCAAAGTGGAAAGACAAATTTATGTTCTGGAGTCTTGTAAGCAAGTTTTCGTCTTTGTTCACAAAAGCCCACCGTGTTTGGACCAAGGCTAATTCATCATTACCCTGAAAGAAACACAGAATCTGTCATGTGAGATAGGCTAGTACATGGCAAGCATTCTGTATCACAGTTCCCGGTATAGACCTTCAGCTAAAAAGAAAGAAATCCGTAGCTCCAAGGACATAATCAAAAGTTATGTCAAGCCAACGAAGAAGCCTTAAAAGTCCAAGCACAGTAGATTACATGGGTTCAAAAGATCTCCTATGAACATGAGACCAAAAAGACATGATTGGTGTTACCTTAAAATGAGGCACAGTTTTCTTCAAAAAATCCGCTGGTGGCTGGAAATCCGCATCAAATATGGCGACAAACTCATAGTCTTTGACGTATTCACAGTTCATTGCAGCTTTAAGGTTTCCAGCCTTGTAACCAGTACGTATGAGACGGTGTCTATACACTATCCTTACACCCCTTTGTTGCCATTTCTGTACTTCAGCTTTTATAAGCTGCTGAACATCTAACTCACTGGAGTCATCAAGAACCTGAACTAGCATTCTTTCCCTTGGCCAGTCAAGCATACACACAGCTCCAATAGATTGTTGGTAAACCTGCAAGTGCCACCAACCAAAATCAACGAGATGAGATAACAGAACCGGAACTGCAACATCTTAAATACGAATAAGCAGGCATAAGAAACACTTAGATTACGAGTCAACAAAGCAACAAATCCTACCTACAGATGCTTGATTCCCAATTCAACTTCAAACAGCAAGATACGACTAAGGATTAGGGACCTACATACATGTTCTTACCTCCTTTTCATTGCACATTGGAATCTGAACAATCACCATTGGATAATCTTCCAATCTCACTCCTTCTCCAACCAATTTAGTCGGATACGCCATAGATGCAACAGGCTTAATGCGGCGGAGCTTGATCCAGAAGCATCCAAGCACAAGCACCAGACGGTCAACCGATTGAATCAAGAAGAGAATTATACATACATTGGTCAAGCTCTGAAGCGGCGGCGCGAGATAAGACGCCCTGATCTCCAACCACCAAGCGTAAACCACCTCCACGGCGACCTCGGCGGAGGCAACAGAGGGAGGTGTGAAGTGCCATCCCTTGAAATAAGCGGCGAGCTCGAAACAGAGAAGAAGCACAACAACAACGAGAAATCCCTTGATTAGACGGTACAATCTAGCGGAGGAGGAGACAGATGGAGGGTTATCGTTGGCAATGCGGCGATTGGCGGTGCGAACAAGGTAAAGGAAAGAGTTACCGATCCAGACGAAGGAAGATGCGAGTTGCTTGAACTTGAGGAGGTAGAGACGAGAGAGCTGACGAGCGGTACGAGTCCGGATCCGATCCTTATCGGGGTCAACGGTGGCCGGAGTACGGATTTCAACGGTGAGGAATGCTTCATCGTCGCCGGTGTAAAGAACGTCGTGATTGTTCCTATCTCGTTGCTTGTTCCACCATTGTTGAAACTCCTCGTTCTGGGAGCGAGACATTCAACGAGAAAGGAAAAGAGAATCTCTCTCGAAGCTGATGAAATCAGGAGAATCGATCTGATTAGATCTGAGAATTTGGGAGACAAAGGCAGAGAGAACACGATTGGGCTAAAACTTACTAACAATAGAGATGACGTCGTCTTTCGTCCCACTGTCTTGCTCCCATTTCTTTTTTTTTTTTTTTTTTTTATATACATGTATAAAAATTACTAGTAATAAGTGATTTAATTAGTACTTAATTTTTTGTCCTCTTGATTTAATTAGTGATATTATTAAGAGTTAATGGTGGTGTAGGCGAATCATGTGTTAGATACTTAAGAGGGTTTCCATTGACAAACAGATTTATGAGTTTTAAGTTTCTGTCTCACCCGCTGATTGCGGTATTGATCTCAAATGATCCTTGAGCATATGATAAACTTAAGCATCGCCACCTGCACGATGATTTACTTGCTAACATTTTCATCTACAATAGAGACAAAAGTTTTGGTATTTTTTAGTTTCTAATTATTTAATCTAATATGATGAATAGAAAATGGGATTATCTTAAATCCGCCATGAATTTATTATGAAATTAAAATATATGATATAAGCATATAACCATGCCGTAACAAAATTTCAATTTGAAATTATTAAAAAAAAAAAAAAAAGACGAAGAATTGTTGGCGTGTGTTTAGTTGGGCCGTAAAAATAAAGCAGCACACAAAGAGCCCACTTAAAATCCACAGATTAAAAAGTTTTAGTTGTGGCCCAAAACACATTTAAGGCTTCACAGGATTAATTGTGGCCCATTCTATCGAATAATTTTTCAAGCAGGATTAAACGACAACGCATTAAAAGAACGGCTATTTTTCTTTTTAAAGTAGATAATGATAAATGTGATCCGCTCCACTCCGTCGGGACCGATGTATTTACAGTTTGTCGAGTAACTGTCCTGCGTTAGTGCGTTACAGTTGTTTATGATTATGTAAAATATTATCATTAACTTGGAAGAAAAGGTTTTTGATTAGACATAATTTTTTGCTTGATTGAATGAATACTTGTCGCCGGTTCTCTTTGCTATAGTAGGTAAAATAGAAAGAGACGCTTCTGTGTTTTATATAGTTTCCATAAATCACGGCGTGATCGCTATACAAAAATCCTAATTTATCAAATTTGGTTTTTTGCTCATAACCACTCATATTAGACTTTCTAATGTATCTTTTTCTTGAGTAACTCCCACAAAGACAATAGAGAAAATGACAGAACACCTTACACAGCTGGTTAACACTAGCAACGATCAAATCAATTATCAAATTTGATCTAACATTGAAACTGACGTTAACGAGTTATTAAGACTTGAGAGTAAAAATAGAAAAAGTCAAGCTCAGCTGAGATTTGATGTTTGTGAATATGCTATAGTACCTGTTATTTGTACATTTGAGCAAATTACACACATGTGATTTAGCACAAAGATAGATGTCACGCTATGTGCCGAAAAAACCTCAATACCAACTTTTTGGTTTTAATGTTAAATTGTATTCCAACCAAAAACTGTATATTAACATTTCATACGCTTTAACAAATAGATAAATAATCCACATATATTAACTACTAAATATCACCTAACAAGCAGAAACTATGTATAGTTTTGATTACTGAAACAAGAAAATTTACTTAGCATCTATCAATTTTGGCAACACACTTTTGTTTTTCCTTTACCTAAATGTGTATTTATGGGAATGATCTGCCCTTGTTTACTTCTTATTTTTTCGCTTTCAAGAATTTGATGTTTTTTTCGTTAATAAAATTGAATGGATTTGATAAAAACAGTCTTGTTGTTCGGAAAAATAGCTTTAGTATTTGTAGTGAGGTCAAAGCTTAAATTGATATTAAATCCAAACAATAAAGGCTTAAAGAATCTGATAATAATAGAGGATGACAACATGACAATACAATTGAGCACCATAAATGAATCAGAAGGATAAAAAGAAGAAATTATGTATATGAAGATGATTATAGAAATGAATTGGTGTGGTCCAATTCAAGCTTCTTGTTATGTACACCCACCCATCAATCCTTTTCTTACTTTCTATCCTCGAGACCTTTAAAACTCCTATATTTTTTTGTAAAAATGCAAATCTAAATATAATGGTTGATCAAAGTTCAGCTTTCATGTGCGACGGTACTTGCTTTGATGAACCTGCATATATAGTACAAATTATACATCTCAAAATCTAAATAATTTATCTTGTCTTTTTTTTTTTTTCATCAATCTAAATTATCTTGCCTATATAATGAAATTGAAAACAATATATGATTTAACTTTCCTTACCATGGTTTAATTCGTGGAGCCGGTTTTGCGCAAAACCCATTTGAATAATGCTAGTTAAATCATCTTCAGAAAATGTTGAATACTGAAAACAAAACCGAAAAGGGAGGGTTAAGATCGTTTGTAATTGAAATATAAAAATTAAGAAAAGTGATAGAAGAAAAAAAAGAAAAAAAAAAACCTGAGAAATAGGGTCAGTGAAATGGGCAAGTGTTGGTAAGTGAGAAATGAAGCTTCTAATTTCAGAAGTTTCCAAAGGGTTTATTATGTTATTACAAGAAATATCAGGGTTCAGCTGCAAATTATTATTGTGATGATCACCCAATAACGTTTCTGCTGAAGAATCTAATTGAAGTACTTGTTGATGATGCATTAGATTGTTGCTTGAAGGAAATATCTGTCAGAAAACAAAAGAAATTGGTTTTAAACAAACACACGATTGGTTCACAAATACACAAAGTAATTATTATTACAATAATTGTCAATTATAATTACTATTAATGTTTTTTTTTTTTTTTTTTTTTTTTATTTTACTATTAATGTTGTTTAAAGTTGTGACGGTGACTTACATCCTTAGACAAGAGAGCGTCCATGTTAAAGTCCAGCCTGGTGTTCACTGACGATAACTTCATCGACAAGAACTGCACCATAATTGAAATTTAAAATTAAGAAAACAAAATTCGAAATCGTGTAGTTGTTTTAAAAAGTGATTATGAAATAATGGAAAGAGTTTAAAGTGGACCAATAATCTAATGAGAAATTACCTCAACTTGCCGTTGCAATGATTGGACATAGTTTATAATTTCATCCAACATCAGTGCTTTTCCAGTAACCTTTAATAATAAAATTTTATTATTCTAATCACAATTACATTACAACTAAAATGAATTGATTAGATTTAATCAAACTCTCACCTTGTTGCATCCAGGGACAAGATCTTGAAGCAGCTTCATTCTTTCGCTTATTTTCTCTCTTCGAACCTTTTGAAAATCATGATTAATTCAACTAATTAGGAGATAATTAAATCTTAAAGATTGAAATCAAGAATTAGGTGATTTTGGTAAAAGAAAATAGGAAATTAGACTGACTCGTTCGGCGAGACTGTGACTATCGGTGGCTTGGCCTCGTCGAGCTCTAACATGAATGTAATCTTTGTAAGGATCAATTGACTTAGTTTTGTCTCCATTTTCGTCTGATTTTTTGCATCGCTTTGGATCAGAATCTTCCTTCTCTTCAATCTCCTGATAATAAAACTAAAATTAGTTATTTTTTTTAATGGGTTCATTCGAATGAAAAGCTAGAATATGAACCTTTGATGGTGAAACTGTAGAAGGAGAATTCTGCTTGGATTTTGCTTTTCTTTTCCGGGAATATTCACCGGACGATTCGCCGGCGGGAACATGAGACACGAGAGGCTTAAGAGCTGGGCTGCTTGATATACGTGGCATTTTCTCATTGGTTGCGACGGGTTGTTCGTTATTAATCGGAAACGGCGAGTTTGTTCTGCCTTTGAAACTACGGCTACCGAAACACGAGAACCTCGCCGCTCTCTCTGCGAATCCCGGATCGCCGGAAAATTCTGTTATCGGCGTCGTCGTTTTCGTCACCATCATACGTCCAGGTGTTGGAGAGCTCATTGGAGTACCGTAACACGAGCCAGAGACGTTTCCGTTGCTCGCCGGCGTTCCATAGATGTCGCCGATGTTACCCAGTTTCCCGATGAGCTCTCTGATCATGACATTTTCTCCACCAACTACTCCACCGGAAAAGTTAGAATTTGACGGCGTCGGAGAAGAGACGAGTGAGCTAAGAGCCGAATGGAAGATGCTCTGTTCCGTTGACTTTTCCCAAAACAGATTGCAACCGAGACTTGGGTCCACTGTTTGAGTCTCCATTGAAACCCAGTTATGCATCGCCGACGAAGAAGACGGTGACGTCATCACCGGCGGATGCGAAGAAGCTCCTGCATTCATAAACAGCTCGTTCTCCATGATGCTCAATTCTAGGGTTTGGAAGATCAAAAGTCTAGATTTGAATTCACGTAAAAACTCGTAAATTAATGGTGATTAATCAAACCCAGATCAGAGATTCATCCAATAGAAGATAAAGTTTGTAATTTTCTTAAAGTGAAGAACAGAGGAAAAGGGAAGCTCGTTAATGGCAGTAATGAGGAGTTTATATAGTTGTTTAATAAATTGCACCAATCAATGACTTTCTTCCTAATAAATGGATATAAAATAAAGTGAATATTAAATAATTCTTTGTCGGACCGGACCGTAACGAGTGGAAGGATTAGGAATTTAGGAGGACCGGACCGGACGTTAAATGATATCGCTAAATTACACGGCTTTACAATATGAGATATTACGAGAAACAAGCTTCTAAATATAGTATAAATAATATGAAGCAAGGTTGATGTTCTTTTAAATGTCAAAAACAAATCTGATGATATCAAAAAACCGGTAAAAGAATCTAAATTATTTCTAACAAACTAATTTTGACGAATGGGTTCCCTTGTCGAAGTTCCTTAACTATCGCCGGTTCTTTCGTTGATTTGTATGTCAAAGTGTTGAACTCTTTCTTTGATCGAATCAAGCAGAAGACACTAAAATCTTGATTCTATCGTATGTTAAAGAAGGCAGTTTCAATGAGGCAATTGGGTTTGTTTACGCATGTAAAGGAGCTAAATTTTTAGTTACATAGTTTTTGTTCTTTCTTGCATCACGAGAGTCTCTTAGATTTTTACCATTTTGGCAATTAAACTCTCATATGGATATTTAGATAAAAAGGTTTGATGAGAAGGATTTTCCGTTCTATGTAGATATATACATATATAAACTAGTGCCTTGACTCGGTGAGATTTCTAAGTGAACATAATATTAAGACCTAATTAAGTTGCTAGTCTGTGAATAAGAAAGTCTACACAATACATAAGATGATATAGTAGCTTCTATCTAGAGTGCATCATGTACTTCCTTCGAGTGTTGCCTTAGTGTGTGGCTCACTTTAGTCTTTGGCTTTCTTGTCATTTTCTTGTCACTTTTACGTAAACTATTTTGTTTGTGTTACCTACAGTTTACAGTAATCTGCAAAATAGATTGGCCGAGTTTAATGATAGAACTCCTTGATTTCAAACAGGTTCCAGATCATATGCGTGCGTTTGCGTTTGTGCTGACACGTTTCAAGAACATATCACCGACTTTATATAGATATATATATACCTTCAGCGCCGTCAAAAGAAGAAAAAGAAAAGGATAATATGCACGTTGAGCTTTTCTTCCTTACATTCGGATCAGATCTCTGATCACAAATAATATTTGCACACCCCTACGTCACGCATGATGAAAAAGATGCTCAATAGTCCAACATCGACTGCAGTCTGCAGAGGGAAATACTATTTATATGGGCCTTCAACTTCTAACATAGGTGTGGGCCTTCCACTTCTAAGCCCACTAATGAATTTAAACGGGCTCCTTCCACGGGATAGAATTTAATTGGGTTCCCCTAATATCAATTATTTACAACAAATATTATTACATCGATTTAAAATTTGATAAAATACTAATCATCATTGGAATATTGGATCATAACTTATTGGTTTGTACTAGTGTTACTGGTGTATCATAATGCCGATGGGAATCTGGAAGTATACTTGACAATTGTAAACGATGAATAAGTATTGATACAAATTAAATTTTCATATCATTTTGATATTATTTAGTGAAGTTATCTGCATAAAAATTGTTTAATAGAGAAAAAAAATACACATCACAACTTCCACAATCAATTTGTGTCTGCATAACTGTTTTGCAAATTTCCTGTTTATCATTATCAACAGGATTTAGGAAAAATGCTTGATTTTCGTATAGGCTGTATAGAGTATTTTTTGGCATTATCTCTAGTATTTTATTCTAAAACTAGCAGAATTTTCACGAATTCATTAAAAATTTAGAATAATCCATTGACTCTTCGCTGTTAAATAAAATTCCAATAGTATACAAAAAACGAATTTGGGTCATTTTTAATATTAGTATACTGCACGGGGCGACGAGCATAAACAGACACCAAACAACAAAACCCACTTGTCATGTTCTTGTTCTTACAAAAGATTATTAGATATTGTCACTTGTTCGTTACCTCATTCTAAAGAACTCTTCACACCTCCCAAATCCCAACTTTCCCTTCCATTAAATTAACAAAAGTTGTTCGGTCAGGTTCTGTTTCACTCCAACATGAGTTTTTTTTCCCTCGGTTGGTGTATATTTCCCTCTCTTCACTTATATTATGGGCGTTGTTGGTAAAAACAAAAAATCGAAAGTAAAAATATATTGTGATACACCAACTAAATCAATGATGATTGTGTTACTATACAACACAAATGTTGGCCTTCTTGTTTGTTTGAGCTATATGTTGTTCCAATTACTGAATTTGTTTCAACTATTGTATATAAAAACAGCAATTTCAGTGGAAGGCGATTTACGATTTAAGATTGAAACAAGCAAAACCAGAAAAACTACGACAATGGTTAAAATATCATATGAAGTAAGACGGATGATTTTGGTGCGTGTTTAGTCGACACTGCCTTTATTATATAGTTGTTCTCTCACTCTCCCACGAAATTGCTTGCTTCATAATACCGTGGACTGTGGAGAGAATACCTCATACATATCTTAAGTTCAACCGCCAATGAGGACCGAGTCTTTAAATGGACTTATCCTCCATTTCAACCACAATTTTCTTCTAACCCAAAACGGATCATTAATTATGCTTGGCATAAACAAGATTATTGGTAATTTTAAAAAGGAATTAAAAATTACAGAGACGCTGCTACACCTTTCCCTTTCATGAAGAGCCAAAAGAAATGGATTAAATCAAGAAAACAGGATAGGGAGACAAAGGTGAAAGGCTCTTTGGTTGGTTCTTGGCCCTACGCTTTCTTTCGCAATCATCTATCTCTCGACCTATTTGGCCCCCACCATAATCATATTCCCATTTTTTTTCCTCTCTGTCACGTGTCCTCTTTTCCTGTAAATTCTATCTTTATTTTTCTCTCCTTGTGCATGGATAACCCTTATTTCATAATTCATAGTTTCATCCATTGCAAGACAAACTGATAAGTTTATGATTTTATCACATCTGTCTTGTATTTCCTTTTTCTGATTGAGTAAATTTAAAATCAAAAGTAAATTAATCTAGAGATTTCTAAAAGTATTTCAACCATATAAACTATTTACATTCGTCGACATTAAAGCGCATATAAGATTCGATTCCTAAAAACCAATAAAAATTTGAACCACTAAACTGCCATAGTTAATTTTTTTATTATTATTTTTGGAGGGTGATGTAAATCTTGAATATTTTATAGTTTTATGATATTTCGTCGATTTGATAATTCTGCGTCAAATTTTATGTTGAAGATCTATGTATTGTTTTCAAATCAAACGAGAAGATAAAATTTAATTTTTGGGTCAAATGGAATCAGGCGTAGCATGGGTCATGGAGTTGTTCGTCTTTATTAATAAACACACACACATCCTTTTTTTTTTTTTTTTGAAAATGATTTTCTATTGAATCTACACCTATTAAATATGTTTTTTCTTACATTTCTATAATCAAGATCTTCTTAGTTTCATGTTCTGTAAAACAAAATGTGTAGAAGAAATTTCTATCGTAAAATACATATAAAATAATAGTAAAATATTAGGATTGTAAAATTTAAATGAAAGCGTACGTGATTTATGTAAGACTTTAACTTGGTATGTATTCACAGCCCATCTCACGACACGTGGATGTCGCATCTATGAGAAACCTTCCTGGGCCAGCATCATCCAGAAACTACTCCAACTAGTAAACAAGAGAGAGTCTAGTGTATGCAGTTGTTAGATGAAAGTATGAAACATTGAATGTATGATACGAAGTGACATGCACAACTAATTAGAGATCGTACGAAAATTATTCATTATTCTAATTTTTAAAAGTTAGCTAATTTTTTTTTTTAATTTGATAGCATGTTATGCATTCGTTAGCCATGCTAAACCTGCTGCAAGCTTTATGGTCCTTGACTCCTTTCGAAGGGTCGTCGGTGGTTGGTCTATCGAGCCCAAAATCCAGCAATCCAAATCTAAAAAACACTTAAACTCTTACTTACATTACAACAATGTCCATAGGTTTTAAATTTTAAATAATGGAAGCGTGACAATTGTAAAATGCGAATAAAACCCTATGTACCCGTTGCCTGTTGGGATATGCCTTTGTTTGCCTAACCCTGTAAGGAAGAAGTGGTATATCCTCCGGTTCTGCTTTTCCCCATTATTAATTACGTGTCTTCTTATAATATCTACTTACATTTGAGTACTATTCTTTAATTTTTTTTATTATAGCTTCTCTTCGAATATTCGGAGCCCAACTCCTCTCTTCACGCATTTCTCGTTGTCAAAAAGAAAGTTCTCTCCTTTTATAAAAACCCATCTCCTCCTCCTCTCTCTCTTATTCAAACTTCTCTGAGAAAATTCGAGTTAACTGTTTGTTTTAAACATTCTGATATGGGTTACTCTAGAGCTAAACGTGTCACTGATCCACTCGCCGACGAGGTTAGGGCTCGTCTCGTTGGATGTAGCTTTAGCAGCGGCAGCGAACATACCGGCGACGGAATCGAAGACTACGAAGACGACGACTCACCTTGTCTCTCCGATCTCGTACAAGGCTTCTTGGAAGATGAAGTTGAGACCGTTGTTGATGAGTCACGCTGGTGTGATCAAGACTCCGGTTCCGACTCGGATTCTGACTCGGAACTAGTCGAGCTCCCTGACTTTGCCGACGATATTGCCAAACTTCTGAGGAACTCTCTCAGGGAAGATTCATACGGACGAACGGTGCTGGTACACGTGGCGAGAGCGATGGAAGTGTTGTCGTCTCTTGAATCTCAGCACGAACAACGTGCCGTTTTCCAGCGTAAGGTCATGTCTCTTCTTAGAGAACTCGGCCACAATGCGGCCATCTGCAAAACTAAATGGAAATCCTCCGGCGGACTCACCGCCGGAAACCACGAGTTCATTGACGTCATGCATACACCTTCCGCCTCGTCTCAGCCCGTCCGTTACATCGTCGATTTAGATTTCGCGTCGCGGTTTCAAATCGCGAGGCCAACTTCACAGTACGCGCGTGTGCTTCAATCGCTTCCGGCGGTTTTCGTCGGAAGAGGGGACGATCTGAAGCGGATCTTGCGGCTCGCATGTGACGCGGCGAGGATTTCTCTTAGAAACCGCGGCCTCACGCTACCGCCGTGGAGGAAGAATCGTTATATGCAAACGCGGTGGCTTGGTCCTTACAAACGCACAACCAACTTAACGCCGTCATCTACCGCCGTTAACACCGTCATGTGTCGTGCCATCGGTTTCGATAATGTCGTCGGTGGCCGTCTATTTGTGCGAACACGATAACACCAGACCAAAAAGGCCACGTGTCATTTTAACTCGATTTTTTCTAAATACATTCTAGAGAATAATAATTCATAATTTAGAATTTCTCGTTTGAAATTATATAAAAAAAAATGTGATTCAAAAACAAACAAATTAAAGCCAAGAAAAATCCAGATTTTACGATGATGAAGAATTTTACGCGGAAAATGAACATCGTCAAGAAAATTGCGACAGAATACAGATAAGGCTTTAGTTTACAGCCGTTGGATCTGATCCACTAGTGAGATCCAAAGGTTAAAAACTTGAATAGACAGATCAAATGGACTTAGAGATTTTGATGTAGAGGATAATGTATTATAGTCAAATTATGTGTCGACGTGGAAGTAACACGTAACGTAGTTCTCTCTCGCGTGCATTGAATGTGACTTGGCGTAACAAGACAGGTCCAGGTCTAGGTGCATGGGTTTGTCGTCTAGTTTCGACCACACCTGATAAAAGCCTTAGGAGAGAGAATAAACAAAAATTGGAGCACGTGGTATAGATAAGGTTTATTAATATTTTTACAATTGTTTTTATTCTTTTGGTTTATGCGAATATTCGGTTTTTCTTTTTCAGACCAGATTTTGCTATCCACAACTGACCTAATCCTTACTGTCTTTGAATTTTTTACGATTTTTATCCGTCGTTAATTATAATTTTAAAAAGGTACTATTGTTGTATTTAACTAATGATTCTATTTCGACGGTCCCGTTATGCATTAATTAATCATGTGATGCTGCAAATCGAATGTTATAATTCCCGAGATAGATATTAGAAGTAGGTCTAAAAGATCACGACTCATGAGTCGAACGAGTCATTACATAAAGTTGGTCGAAATTGATCTCATCTACTCGATGAATAGTATATACTTGATCAAAACAAGTTATGTATAATCTCGTTGATTAACACACACAAAATCCAAGTTGATAGAAATATGGTTGAAATTATTGTTTTCGATTCTACAAACGATGGAAATAAATTAATCTATTACTTATGAAATTCGATCGTCTTTCTGATTTACTATGTACTATAAAATGCTGGTTGCATAAACATGTAAATGTTTGTTATAGTGTAGAGATCGTAGTGATTGCACATGTACGTATAGAAAACTAAAGTCGTTTTTTCATATTAAAATTATTCTTTAATCGCTGATTTCAAATCGATTATTTCTTTTGTTTATCTATTTGTTCTCTCTATGGCTAACACGCAACATGACGAATAAAAGAGGAAAAATCAGAGCTAGAGAATCGTCTTCCGATCTCAGAGCGTATCAATCAAGTTAATTATTCCTATATATGACAAATCTTGTGTCAACAATCAATAAAATGTGGTTTAGCTGGGAATTAACTAGTTTTCTCAACAATCATTCATTTTAGTTTATTGATGCTGATTTTATTTCGCAGTGTAAAAAGTCTTTTTGTTCATACACTCTTCAGATCACCCAAGGTTTGCTTATTGTTTTGATTTTTGAACGAAGCAATTATGTGAATTCCAATCTTTAGTCTTTTGAAGAGTAATAAAAAATTTTGATTCCTCGGTTATCTACCTCTTAAAGACCGAAACAGCAAAATAGGATAGGTTGTGTGTGTGACCAAAAAAGGAAAAGGCGAATAAAAAAATGAAGGAATATAAAAAGAAAGAGAGAAAATTAAAGAAATGGCCTTTGAGAGAATTGAAGTGGCCCAATGAGGGATGGAGCAGTCAAGTGTGGGGTCTCTCTCACCTCTCCACGTTTTTATTTTTCCAATCGTCTCTTCGCTTCCCTTCGCCTTCTTTGCTCTTTACTTTTTTTTTTGGGCCTCTTTTTTGTTTCGTTTATTCTACTTATAATGATTCTCTTAGGAAACAAACGAAAGAGTGATGGATATTCTATATATTTCAATTAAATATTCTGTGTGAAATAAGTTGCATGCACTCAACACTTACTTATGCAAGGCCAGCCAATGCCGATTAGGATAGTTTTTTTTTTTTTTTGATAAAGATTAGGATAGATTTGTTGTCTTCAAAGGGAAAATAAAATAAAATAGGATCTTAATTTATAGTACTATATAACTGTTAAGATTGGCCAGTGGCTTCAACGAACTGTGTCCATGCCTGCCTGCACTTGACCACAGACAGAGCAGATGTTGTGGACGTATACCGCTTTTTGACCACAAAAAAATTAAAAAATATGAGCATCGGTTAATAAACAAAATCAATTGGGATATTAGGATACATCTTTTTAAGAAGATGATCTAAAGTTCGTTTTATTGCGTTTTAGGCATTCCTAGTATAGATGAAGATGTTCAGACTTGATAAATTATTCACGTTCTCAAAAAATTTATGCATAAAACGACAATCACGCCCATCTACCTATACGTGCAATGCAAATAATGGTTTATTTCTACAAGATTTTCAATTTTAAAGTTACATATATAGATAAATTTGTGTGTATATATGAATTGAAAGCCATGTGTTTTCCTACTTCACAACGCTTATTAAGTAAGGTACAGGGTGGAGATGATATAGAAAGAATAACACGAAAGATGAGATCTGATCGTTCAGAGTTGATTTTTTTCTTTCATTTCCTGGAAGGAGACATGTGGCTTTCAATAACCAAAGTATGGGATCCTCATTTTCTAGGGCTTACTTCAACAAGCAAATGGGCCTCAAGGTCAAGTTTTTATCCTATTTAAGGCTTCAAAGTCCCCCATACTAACTTAACGGATCTCACCTTTTGGATATAATATAACACATCAATTGGTTTTGTTAGGCTTTACACGTTTTTTTTTCCCTTTTGGATATAACCTATTGACTTTAAACCCCAATCATTCGTTTGGCCTATTGCATTTTTCATTCATAAAAAGCCAGGCAAAATAAAGTTTATCCAACCAAATGGTCATATGGAGTATGGAGTATGATAAAATAAATTTTCTTCTGTACATCTAAATTAATGAGAAACTTTAGTTTTATTTGGAAAAATATAGTAAACGAACTATGTAATAAGATTAAGAACATATATAGGTTGTTAGTAAAACAAAACCTATGGGTTGTGTGTGACAAACGAAACATACGTGTCAAATGGGCCTCTTTCATATATGTTCCACATAACATGATAACATTAATATGATAATTATTTTATTTCTTTCAATTATTGGTCTTGTCTTCTATCTTACAACACTTCAATTGGCTTCCGAATACGTCCAAACCCCATTAATGATCTTTTGTACTCTATATGTATGTTTTTCTTAGTTAAAAAATCTCTAATGTAAGAAATAAAACTGAAAAATACGAACCGATCGCGAGAATGGTTATTGTTTCATATTCAGAAATATTTAAAAGATGTTCGATTCCTAAGTGTATATGGACTGACAAGTCACTATACACCAAAAAATAGTTTACAATGTATCTACACCGATCAATCTCGACGCACATTCAACATAATTTCCACTTGAATCTTCAATCATTTTGAGCTATTGGAATATCAACATTCCATTTTATCAAAAAAGAATATCAACATTCCGCCGACAAAACAATAGCGAGGAAGTAGAGAAGTTTGAGAATTCATACACACATATATAAATAACACCAAAGATATTTCGCCATAAAAAACACTACAAATATCCCAAGCGTAAATATATATCCAGTTTGTACTGTCCATATCTGTTTATGTTATTATATTTTGACAATCTAACATTTGTTTTTTTAATGTTAACATGCCAACTAGAACTCGTAATTTCTTGTATTTTCATTGTGTAAAATTTCATATGTAGATTAACATTATAGGCATGCTGCAAAGCTTACTGCATTGTGAAGAAAATAACATAAAGATTCATCAATTTTCTTTTCTTTCGAAGATTCAGATTGTTGTTACCAAAAAGTTTGGAAATGAATGTTCTACTACTCCTATGGAAAAAAATTCAGTGTAAGAGTGTTGTTATCACAAAATAAAAACTAACAAAAAAAAAAACAGAAGCAATGATAATAATTTGAGAAAGCAGAGATGTCTCGCAAGCAGGGAAAAAAAAGGACAGTTCGAAGATAATGAGGGCATTAGAAAGGGACACGTGGGTTAGAGGGTGGTCCGACGTAAGCTGATTTTTATCAGCAGTCCAACTTGGCACTTGTAAGATTCTCTTCTGTGTTTGCAGACGAGTGGGGACCACTTCTCAGAAATAATAGATGATATTCATACACGTGTCTATTTCAACTCAATAATAGTTGTTCTATAAGTTTGTTAGTAGAACAACTTCAATTTTGAGAATTGAGATGACACTATTCTAACCCCAACTCCTTGTATCATTGTATATGAACATCAATGACAATCACCCACTCTTATGGATGGTCGTTAAATAAACCAAGTATTATAGTATTAAGAAAACAAAAATCAAAAATATTTAAAGCGAAATCAATAAATGTAATATACTAATTAGTTTGAAGTTCTAACAAATAATAATGTAGACAAAGTAACAAGACAAATTCCGTGGCAAATATATATAACTTGGTCTAATTAAAACATTTGCTGGAATTACAACATTTTTTTAAAAAATCATGTTTTGATGGAAAAAGTCGTTTTCACCTTTTAAAATTGTTTCAGACATGGAGTGATGTGTCATCTTGTTTAATATTATTGTCTACAGAATGTTACAAAAAGTTGAAAACTAAGGGCCTGATTGGCAAGTGCTTTAGAGTCTTTACAAAGCAAAAAAAATTCTAAAGATTTGAAATACATCCAATCAAGCTTTAGAATCTTTGGCTTTCCTTTTTTTTCTCACAGCCAAAATATTTCCTTAAATCATTTTTTTGGCTGTAGAAAGCCTTTTTTCCTAAAGCACATAATTTTCAACTTTCCAAAATTTTAAATTCCACAGCCAAAATACTACAGCACTAAAATCTACAGCCACAGCAAATAAACCTACAGTCATATTTCTACAGCAAAAAATGTAAAGCTACAGCTGTTACCAATCAGGCCCTAAATCTTGATAAAGAAGTTAATTTTAAGACCAAATCTTCCGGTTACTTTTTTTTTTTTGAATGCTATAGATTTGGTCAACTCTCTTAATTCATCCAATCACGCCTCGAAAGCTATAATAACAAAACTTGGTTTATTTTCTGTTTTTTATACAGTATATATTTTTTAAATTTATTTTAGAACAAAAAATAAAAAGAAGAAGAAGAAAGTAGTGTGAAAAACGGCAGGGGTAAAATCGTCAAAGAAGAAATAGAGAGAGAGTGAAGAGGAGGAGTACAAAAGAATCCACGCGGAAAGACAGCTGTTCCCATGTTGCCATGTTGGAATAACTGTGCGGGTCCCACTTTCTCTACACTCACTCCTCTCCCCCATCTAATTTTCGCCGCCAGTACCATACTTCCGATTTTTTGGTTTACCACTATGTTATGTATCACATTAATGGTGCATTTTTCGCTAAAGGTGATTTGTTTTTTGAATACAACTACGAGTCTACGACATTACGTTAAATTTCCTAAGTCTGTTTTTTTTTGAGTCAACAATTCAAACAATGACGCTAATAGAGTTATCAATTGACCAAAAAAAAAAAACGATTCAAGCAATGATCGCTGATATAAAGTATAAACAATGCAATAATGTACTACACAATAGCGATTTAAATTAAAGTTGTTATGGTCTAATGGTTGAATAATTAAGTCATCATAAGTAAGGAACCAAAATTCGAATACTCGCAATAAATACTAGTAATTTAGTGGATAAAAGATTAGTTACGGGTTCCATGCCTTAAGATTTGAGTATGTTTGTAAACGTTTTGTCAAAATATTAATATTCTGTTATTCACAAACCTTGGGTAATTTTTGTTTTGTTCGGTTTTACAAAACAATGTATGGAGGTTTCGAACTCCCAAGACCAAACATAAGTGAAAGATGAAGACCACTAGGCTAAACTATTATGTGTTATCAATTACTATAAGTTATAAGTAGCAAAATTACCAATAACGTGTATGGATTTATACCCAAAAATAAGTAAACGTGTAAGAGTGTACGAGACAAATCGTGTCGGCTGTATTTTGACACCTTAGTCGCGAGGTAGGTCATACGTGCTGCATTATTAAAACCTTTTAAATTCTTAATTTCGTGAATTAGTAGTAAATAACTAAATAATGAATGAATGAATAAGATGACGTGGCAGATTCGGTGCAGACCACAATTCTATTATAGTGAAGCACTACAGTACAACAACACTTGTGCCCTTCTTCTTCTCTCTTCCTCATATTTATTACTCTCTCTTTCACAAACACAGAAACAAAATAAATAAAAAATTTAATTAATGTGAGAAAATCAATTCAAAAATTTCGACATACGTAATCTGAGAAGAAGTGTTTTGCTGAATACCGGCGGTGGATCCGACGGCGATGGCGAAGACCGGTGTTTTCGATTCGGATCCGACGGCGATTGCGAAAGCCAAGGAACTGAAGCGTGAGATGAAGAAGTTGCTGATTAAGATCGAAGATGAAGATGACTTTGGGGTTCAGACAATTGATCAGTTACAAGAGGCTTTGTCTGCGTTGAGAGAAGCGACTATGAGGAAGATGGCGAAATCGTCTTCACTGGAGATGCTCGAGACTGTGTCTTGTCCTGAGGAGTTTCGTTGTCCTCTCTCTAATGAGCTTATGAGGGATCCTGTTGTTTTGGCTTCTGGTCAGGTTTGTGAACGTCACATTCCGATTTGATTGTTCTTCTAGGGTTTTCAATTTTCTGTTTTTATTTTGTTTCTCTGGTTAGGTTTGGTGACTGTAAATTTTGGATTTTTGGGGGAATTTTGATTGGCTTGAAAACTTTTTCATCTGTTTTCTCGACCCGACTGAGACAATCCGACTCAGGTTTCATAAAGTTCTTGTTTTGTCGGTAGGATAGATATTGATATTCTAAAAAAATGATTTTTAGAAGATAACTTATGTGTTCCTGGAAATCCCCAGAAGTTGAATATAAGTATAATTGAATTGAAATTTCTATTTTGTGTGTGTTTGTGTTTTGCAGACATACGACAAGTTATTTATCCAGAAATGGTTGAGCTCAGGCAACAGAACATGTCCCAAGACTCAGCAAGTTCTGCCTCACACGGCTTTAACACCTAATCTCTTAATCCGTGAAATGATCTCAAGATGGTGCAAGAAGATCGGGCTAGAGACGAAGAACCAATATCATCCCAACCTTGTTAATGAAGAGGAAGCTGTCACAAGATCAGATCGTGAGATTTTCAATTCCTTGCTCTGTAAAGTCTCTTCTTCGAACCTTCAAGATCAAAAATCAGCTGCCAAGGAGCTAAGACTTCTGACCAAGAAAGGCACTGAGTTCCGAGCTCTTTTTGGTGAATCTCCGGATGAAATCACCCGGTTGGTTAATCCGTTGTTACACGGGTCAAACCCAGATGAGAAGCTTCAAGAAGATGTGGTCACAACATTGTTGAACATATCCATACATGATGACAGCAACAAGAAGCTCGTCTGCGAAAATCCTAATGTGATTCCTCTCCTTATCGATGCATTGAGGCGTGGAACGGTAGCCACAAGAAGCAATGCGGCTGCAGCGATCTTCACTTTGTCGGCACTTGATTCGAACAAAGTACTTATAGGGAAGTCCGGAATCTTGAAACCGCTTATTGATCTCCTAGAAGAAGGGAATCCATTAGCTATCAAAGACGTAGCTGCAGCGATCTTCACTCTTTGTATAGCTCATGAAAACAGGAGTAGAGCTGTGAGAGACGGAGCTGTTAGGGTTTTAGGTAAGAAAATCTCAAATGGGTTGTACGTCGATGAGCTTTTAGCTATATTGGCAATGCTTGTTACTCACTGGAAGGCTGTGGAGGAATTGGGTGAGCTCGGTGGGGTTTCATGGTTGCTGAAGATAACTAGAGAGAGCGAGTGCAAGCGTAACAAAGAGAATGCGATAGTGATACTGCATACTATATGTTTCAGCGACAGGACAAAGTGGAAGGAGATCAAAGAAGAGGAGAATGCTCATGGAACGATAACAAAGCTTTCGCGTGAAGGAACTTCAAGGGCACAGAGGAAAGCAAATGGGATCTTGGACAGACTGAGAAAAGCTATGAATCTCACTCATACAGCCTGAGAGAAGCCTTGGATTCCGCAATGTAAATTATCTAAAATCCTGTTCTTTTTTACTTTATTTGGCTTTAAGAATTTTTGTAAATGATTCATATCTTTAGGATCTGAATGATTATGGTTTTCGTATATGAGATGTAAGTAGAAATCTGTGTGAATAGTTTTTTCCGTTTGATGTTTCTGGAGAATCAAATCAATCAATAAAAATCAACGTTGGTGGCTTTATTCAGCTGTGAACGCCTTGGTCAACAAGTAACAGTGTGTAGCTTTTCGTCTTGTTCTTTGTATAAATGTAAGTACATTATTATAATACATAGAAAGGCTGTCATGTCGTGTCCTTCACATCACTGATAAACCACAAGGCAAATCAATCTTATTCCACTCTCTGTGGAAAAAGAGTTAATTAGAGAGTCACGAGTTTTTCCATTGATGTGATTTTTGTTATATGTATGTAACGTGATGATGTGATTCCTCTTGTCGTGTTAGAAAAAATTACGGAATAGTTTTAATACTAAAAATGTTCTAGACATGGCAAGAAAAGGCATGTAAGTAATGATAAAAATCACATGTATTTTGTTGGTTGGATTGCTTGGGAGTTAGAATTGAATCAGGAATTTGCTACAACTCGTGATTCGTAATAATTACAAGTCAATAGATCGAGAAAGTTGGAAAATTGGAATATTTAATAGAGAGGATAGAATATGGATTCGTCCTAAACCACTCCTTGGTGTTATTCCTCACCCAACTTTCACAGAAAAGCCAAGAAAAGAAAGAATTTGATGCTTTGTAACTTTTTTATCCCCAAGAAGTAACGTTTACAATTCATTGGATACAAAAAAAGGAAATCCCATAAAGAAAGAAAAAGAATCGTAATAATCCACGATGGTGGGTTTACCTTTTATGTGTCCCCAGTGGAAATCATATAGATAAAGAAAATAGTAGTTTTCTTTCTATTCAAAGACCCAAGATTTCCGCCTTATTAGGCAGAATTCATTCAATACATTATGATAGCCCTTGCCCTTGGCTTTTCCTTTCTTTCAAGTTTGATGAACACAGAACATTCAACCAAAAATTGATGTTTTACACTATTGCATGAGAATTTTTGTTTCTTTGTTGAATTTTCGGACTTCCAGTTTTATTTTAGAGTGATTAATCACAATCCAAAATATTTCAGGGCACAGAACCGGAGTGGTCCAAGAAGGCTTCAAAAAAAGGCATGTTTTGGACTAAATCCTAATGAGATACAGTTCATCAATCTTGTTGACCATCAGAGAACTGCATCTAAATCCCGAAACCCAAAACCAAAACTTAAGCAAAACAAAAAATATAAAATTATTGCCTCCATAAACCTCACCATTATTCTTTTAACACAGATATAGACAATACTCAAGCATTTCATAACCCAAAATAAGTTTAGTGTATCCATGATGTTGCTGACCTGGACAAATAAAAATATGTTTCTCCATGTTATGGCTGAAATTCACAGCTACAGGGAAGAGTCTGTATGTTTGTTATTGAACTTTCCTCAATGATAAACAAAGTCTGTAATTCTGTATGTGTGTCATAGGCTAAACCATATGGCCAATGTGTGCAGAGTGCACAAAAAACATTGTATATATACACAGGGTAGAGAATCTTACACTGAAAACATCGGCAAGCCAAAAAAACACAATAGTGAAAAAGGTAACGCACCCATCTGTTTTGTTCACTCACCTGAGTAGTTAACCTCAAGTTCACATCCGCTTCATTGTGTTTATGTTAATCCCCATTTGCATCAACAACCCATCTTGTAAGCCCAAACGTGTTTTTCTAGATATGCAGCCACTGCCTCTTTGATAGCCAGATTTGGGACGAGCTTGGACGGGTCGATTTTTTCACGCGTTATCGGATCAAACTTCCCCACCTATCAAGTGATGTTAAGTGTAAACGATCAAACCTTAACAGGAATGACGAATGAGAAAAAAAAAAATTATAGAGATTAACGCTACAGGAAAGAACGATGATGATGCCAACCTTCTTGAGATGTTCAAGGATTGCTGCTCTTTCATATGTAACCCCACTTGGAGATATTACAGGATCTCGGAAAATCTCAAGAGTTATATTGCAACACAAATAACCTGGCACCTGGAAAAAATAACCCAGAAATGGTAGTTGACCTCAAATATAAATGAACGATGGGTCTTAAAAGCTTTTAAAGAAAAGTTAATGCACCTCAGTTGGTTTATCTTCTTCTGCAGCTTTCTCAAACACTCGTTCAAGAGCTTTTAAACGCTCGGTATGGGTAATATAGGCTTCGTCTGAGGACTCTTCTGTTCGAGACATATCTAAAGCACATTGTTGATTAAGAGCAGCCTCACAAGTTTCCCTAACACAAATAAATAGTTCCATAAAGCCACACTGAAGCATAGTTCCAAGTCGAATGATAGCACCGGATTAAGAAAGTTACAGAACCTACTTCAAACTACTCAGTTCCCATGAGCGCCTTGCAGAAACCAGTTCCCACTCCATGTATTTTGCTTTAGAAAGCTCTTCCCATATTTCTTCAACCATATACCCTGTTGGATTCGAGCTTCTTCCAAGATCTAAAGCCTATATGAAACGTAGCTACATGAAGTTAGCTGGAGCAGGCATCGAAACTATTGTTAAGCAGTATTTGATGATACCAACAAACTAACCCATATCTAGTGGTTTTCTAACTAAATAACCAGTGTCCATAGTATCCACTTATACAAAACGATGGAAATTCAAGTGGAAACTACACTACTTAGGTCTCAATGTTACGACTTATAAATTTTACAGAAAAAAAGCTTAGGATAAACAAAGATCCATACCCTTTGCAACTCTTTGACTCCATCAGTATATTCTTTCTTCTGCAATAATGCAAGTCCTAGCATGTAGTGGGCCTGCCACAGAACATAAGTGTACACATATGAAGGAGAAGAAAGGATCAAAGAATCCCAAGAAAAGAAGGAGACCAAAACAAAACAAAAAACTTGATAGATCCCATATATAGCACACCAAACAAAAGAATTCCATTTAGATAGAACCAAAAGAATCAAACCTTGACAGAATTGTGGACAAGCTGAATAGCTTTGCGACAATCCTCTTCAACCTTAGTCCAATCCCTGAATTTGATACAAGCCACCCACAAGCAAACAAGCCAAACATAAACAACAAAGATGAACCATAAAGTTTGGGGCATAAGAATTGCCTAAATAAATTTGCTTGACAGAACATACTTACTTTCGTTTCATGTGGCAAAGTGCTCGATTTGTCCAATAAGCAGGAACATTTGGAGACAAGGCTATTGCCTATTAAATTACACAAAGATGATAAGAAAATCATACAAAATGAATTAAGTCATTGAAGCTTCTTGATGACAGTAACAACACCTCTGCAAACTGATAACTTATACCCATGAGCACATAAAGATTCCTAATTTCCAACAGTAAACATTCTCACCAATTGTATATTCTCGAATACACTCCATCTAAACCTAATTTTGATGAAATTAAGTTCTGATTAACAAACGAATCATCCAATTTCGAAATTCTAATCAAGGGTTTATTACTTCACGCAGATCTCAATCAAAACTTTAGGGATATGCCCTGAAAAACAAAACCCTAACGATGAATTGATAACCATGTACCTCGGTATAAGCATCAATGGCAGCACCAAAACGTTCTTTCTTATAGCAATTGTTTCCGTCTTCCTTTAACCGCTCCGCCATGGCGGAGGCCACGCCTGTAACCATCTACGGCAACTCCAAAAAAAAGAAGAGTCTTTATCGTTTCCAACACTCCTCTGTAACTTCTGCGACGACGCGTCCGAAGAATGTCCCGGAGTGTTTCGGATGAGAAGAAGCCGCGAAATTTCTCGATGAAGGAGAGAGAAGTAAGCAAAGGTTATTACTTTTTTTTAAAAGAATCGGTTATGGAAGGAGATTAGACTCTTTACCGGGTCAGCCCGATAATGTTTATGGAATCGGTTAATGACTTAATGTTTCATTGGGTTATCTTTTTATTCCATAAACCGATCAATGGGTCATTATAAATTGTAATAAATTATTTGAAAGTATCTTCCATGTAGTACGAAATCTTATTAATCTATTTTAACCAAGTTGTAGAAAAATAAATGCAGTCAAATAATATTAATATCTTTTTTAACTTGGTCAACAAAAATATAATTATCTTTTTAATTGAAATTGGATGCTTCTATCGCTTTTAAACAGTTGGCAATTTAAAGTAGATGATAAACAAATGATTGACTAGTTTCAAACATTTGTCACTTTAAATTTCAAGATTTAACGCATGATGCGAATCCCAAAACAAAATCTTCAATAAGAAACATTTAAAGGCATAAAAGAATCTTTTTTAATCTCCCTGCTCGTCGTCCTCATGGCTTCGCAACCTAGCCAATCTGTTGGTAATAACAACACCCAATTGAGATGCACGCTCAACAATCTCCTTCCTCTTCTTTGTCGATACATTGTGCGCAATCTCGGCACAGTATGTCCTATAAACCAGTTCCAAGATCATTGTCAAGCAAACAATTTTTTAATACAAGAGTTAATAAAGGAGATAATGAGTGGTTTGGTTATACATACCGATTATGCATCATAAGCAGCTGAAGCTCTTTGGCATTGTAGACAACAAATTTCTTGAAACCATTTGGAAGATAGTAACGGATTTTCTTGTCTGATCCATATCCAATGCACATCCTTTGTACTCTCTTCTTACACGTGAATCAATACCCTTTGGTCTCCTCCAGATTTCCTGTAGTATTGAATGATTTTTACATATGTGTATGTATGTGACTCCGATTTTGATTCGTAAGACAGTGTGTATAGTATTGCTGAGCTGAGTGAAATATTTCAGGAACACTAAATTCCGATATTTTTCTATTGATTCGATTGCTTCTAAAACAATCTAAGTTGATTATTACAATATTCCGAAGTAAGCAATATATATGACCAAACCAGAACGAACCTTGACAGTGATTCTCCTGTCACTTTGAGGTCTAATAAACTCATGAACACATTTCTTCACGATCTTCTTGGTCATCAATGGAACCGCCATGTTTCCTACATAGCTCACGATCGAGTTAACCAAATAGAAATTTCTCTAAAAAACCACGAGTACTGTAACATATTTATCAGAGAATTGCGACGAGTTGTAATAAAGAATTTACAAGGACGAAAAAACTAATCAGCCACTAAGAATTTTCCTGTGATTTAAACAAAACCAGACAACTATTTGAATATGAATCGATACATTTGTGGTGAGCAAATAAGATTTACTGTGATGGTACCAAATGAACAAAGCTGCCTCTGCTCACGATACATTTTTTTAGAATGTTTGTAAATGAGAGGGCCAACGCAATTATGGGCCCAAAGCCTATCACGTTTACAAACTGAAGAGTTTACCGGTTTAGATTAAAGGGAAAAGAAAATCCAATATACATGAAATTATAAAAATAACGACCTCGCGCACAAAAAAGAGTGGGTAGGTATGATTAGAGACTAATGACGTTCGTACAATAAAGTTAAGGACAAAAGCGTGTGCAAATTCGTCTAACCCTTTTTCACCCAATCTTCTTCCCAAATCTATGGATGCTATCTTTAGGTCTCTTTTGGTGAGACTCGTGGTGAATACTTTTATTTACTTCTTTTTGTGTTTTTGTGATTGTACTTATGTTTCTATATGCTTATTAAATTTATAATGATCACTATGTTTCTTTCTAGTTTCATATGTGATATGTATATAATAAAGAAAGTTTCAATAGTTTTTTATATGTATAAATGAAGATGTTCACACTCAACGTTTTTAAAAAGTCTGATGTATACAAGACTTGCGGTTTAATAATAAAAAACATATTCCAATAAATGAAAAATCGAGATTCGAGACACACAATCGTTGACAAAATACTCATCATTTAATTTCCAAGACCAAATTTATCGAATCTGGACAGATATTTGTTTCAAATTTATCAAAGCTCGAATACATAAATACATAATCTTCGTATATAAAGACTTTTTATTTTGTTTATTTTTATGTTTTAATTTTTTATTTTAATCAGATGTTGACGTAGACCGAGATATTTAGTTCAGAGACTATCGGAAGCGTTAATAATTTTAAATCACATGATTCGATAAGAACCAAATATTTAAATTCTAAGCAAAAAAATAGTATAAGCTTTAGTTTTATAGCTCCTAGGATGGTATATACAAAAAATCAGGATAGATACTAAAAATAGGAGGACAATAATATATTTTTTCACAGACCACGTGAACAAGAAACAACACATAGGGGCTGTATTAAAACGTCACGTATGCAATAATGCTTATGTAAGCAGCCTTTTTATGTCTTCTGCCTCCATCTCTCGGCTACATCTCTCATGAAAATTCGGAGAAAAAAGAGAGGACCATTTCCGTTTTTCTAATGGACGAAAAGAACTTCGACTTTTCACCTAGAGATATATATTTATTAAAGTAGAGAGAATTGCGGGAACATTTTACAGAAATTTGGTGTTGACATTTTGTTATTGTGGGTCTCTCTATATGCCTAGTTAATAATAAAACGATTCTAGAATATTATGAAATGAAAAGTAAAATGAAAAAGAAAATGAAAAAATAGTAATTGAGGTAGACGGGCATTGGTATTTATTCAAAGTTGCCCAACAACTAGGAAATTAAAGGAAAAAAAAAATAACATAAAAGAAATGAAATTTGGCTTCTTACCAATTCTCATTTCATGAAATGACCTAAGGAAAATTCCGATATTACCCGCCATTGTTCAACGTTATTGACATTGTGTCGTTTGGAAAAAATCAAAAATTTCGTCCCTACACATTCCTTTTCAAATTCGAAATTGAATGTAAGCTGTAACTAACAAAACTTGTATTATTTGGAAAAGAATCGATCTCAATTTCTTTCCTTACATTGCCCACCTCTATGAATTTCATACACAAAATCCTCATTTTCAAAACTAAAATTATCAATTATACAGATCTCTCTATCACAAAAAAAAAGCGAATTTTAAACGAAGGGCTTTTCCAACGAAGCTACAATGAAAAAAAGTCATACATGTAAACGAAAATAAATTTCAACCCATTTGACTGGTGACAATATACACCAAAAAAAATTGACATATATATGACAAGTCGTCTATATGTGTAAATATATCTATTTAATTCTTAATAAATGAATAAAAAGGATTTTCTTCTAAATAAAACCATTAACAAAATCAAATAGCATAAGATTTATTACCAAAGTATGTGGTGAAATATGAGAGACGCCAGTTGCAGTCAACTTCCAAAAGAACACGCACTCTCCACATGCTCTACCCAAATTCCTCCTTACCTATTGAATCACCTCCGACTTTAATTATAACAAACCAATTCACATCGTGAACGTGACTTTTCCATTGTTAGTGGTCAACTCAATACGTGGCATCATCCCAACGGCTTCCCTGATTCTCTCATCATAGAAACAATGCACTGGATCAATCTCCATATCTTCCGGGCCTTGCCCTTCTATATAAACATCACATGTCTCCGTGTCTTAATTTCTTATCAAACACCACACCACACAAGAGCAGTACTCAACCATGGCTTCTTCTTCTTCTCTTGTGATCCTAGCCGTTGCTTGTTTCGTCTCTCTAATCTCACCGGCGATTTCACAGCAGACATGCTCTACGCAGAACCTAAACTCCGCTGGTCCGTTCGATAGTTGCCTAGACCTTCCCGTACTCAATTCCTACCTCCATTACACCTACGATTCCTCAAATTCGTCTCTCTCCGTCGCTTTCGTCGCCACTCCATCTCAAACCAACAATGGCTGGGTCGCTTGGGCTATCAATCCTACGGGGACTAAGATGGCCGGTTCTCAGGCCTTCCTCGCTTACAGATCTAACGGCGGTGCTGCTCCCGTCGTCAAGACGTACAACATAAGCGGCTACAGTCTCGACGAAACCGCTACGAGACTTTCCTTCGAGTTCTGGAATCTACGCGCCGAGTCGTTGAGCGGCGGCAGGATCGCGATTTTCACCACGGTTAAGGTCCCGGCGGGAGCCGATAGTGTGAATCAGGTGTGGCAGATCGGCGGGAATGTCACCAACGGTCGTCCCGGAATACATCCTTTCACTCCAGCTAATTTGGGCGCCCACCGCGTCTTGAGATTTACCGCCGACGCACCGGGCTCTGCCCCGACGCCGACCAACGGTGGCTCCACTACCCCAGGGCAAGCGGCGGGAGGTCCAGGGAACGCGGGGTCTTTGACGACCAACGTAAATTTTGGGGTCAATTTTGGAATTTTGGTTATGTTGGCTACTATTTTCATCTTCTGATTCTCTCTCTGAATCCTTTTTTTTTTCCCGCACAATAATGGAGCTAGCTAGCCTCATACTTTTTTTTTTTTTAGTCTTAGAGAGCCATTTAATTCTTCTTCTCTTTTTCACCACATCTTCCCCCCACATTATTTAGAGTTATTGGATTGTATCGAGTATGGACCATTACTGTTTGTTATCTATCTTATCTGCTTAAAATATCTGTGTGCCATATCCAGTGTACTAGTTTCATCGATTAATTAGATTTATTGAAGACAAAATAAAAATAAATCTTAAGAAAATATCTCCGTGACTACCTACCTATATATCTCCGTAATCGTGTGTCTGTCCATTTCATTTGCTGATATTTTGTTTTGGAGCTTGCAACAAAAAGTTACTGTTTGTTCGATTTGCTGTTGTCCACAATAAACATCGATAAGGGAAAGTGATATAGCAGTATTCGTTTTGTTGTTGGTGGTTCTAAAATGTGTTGACAAACGTTATATTTTTTCACAACGGAATTATATGTTTTTCTGTCCTTGGTTAGAAAAATATTGCTAAGGGAAAAAACAAAAAAACGCTAAAAAGTGAAAATTATTAGTGTTCAATATTAGCAAGCATGGATTATCTCTACAAAATATGGGCCTAAAGCCCAATGGTTATATCAGTAACAAGACCCAATAAGTTTCAATAATTTCGAGGAGGCGCATATGCGTTTTGATTTGAGAGATATGCGCCTCTCTTTTAAGGCGCGTCCTTGAATTCTATCATCTTCTCAAATCTCACCCCGAATATTCCCATTTTCAAAATCCTACCCGCTCTCCAAAAACTCAAATGCTCGAACGCGTGTCTTGAGTTTCGATTTTTGAGCATAGGGATCAAACCAGAGGTATTAGTATTAATGGAGTCGATACAGAGCCGAGTGGAATCGTGGATCAGAGACCAGAGGGCGAGGTTCTTACGGGTTTCGTGGGGACCGATTCAATGGAGGTTCCGGTGGCCTCCATGGAACGGAGGAGATGCCGATCAGAGGATTAAGATCCGTCGGGAATATGAGAAGCGCAAAAAGCAAATCGAGGATCTTTGTCTCGCCCTTAAATCCGAGTCTGTCGAAGATTTACAAGACATACTCTGTTGCATGGTACTCTCCGAGTGTGTTTACAAGGTAACTAATCTTATTACTTCTATTAACCCTTGTTATAATGTTTATCAATTGAATTAAGATTAGGTAACAACATTGCTGATTAACTAAGAGGTTAATGTTAGTTAGTTAGAATTGGTTTAGGTGTAATCAGGCTTTATATATATATATAAACTTAAATTGAACACTGTTTCCTACATTTTACTATCGATCTTTGTATCTGTTCCATTTTCCTGGAAATGTAATTTTGTAATGAGATTTAGGTAGAGGAATTTAGAGAAGCTCTGTTTACGCTATTGCATTGTTATTTTAATGGAGGTTGTATTCTAATAGAGACCTGCAAGTGA